TGAATATACGCCCATTATGGGCAGCATACAAATATAAAAACAGTAAAATTATGTGAAAGATCTAATGAATATAGATTTGATTTAGATATATGATGATACATGCAGAATAGACAAAATAACAATGGTACTTAATATATAAAACAATATACAGGTATCATAGTTCTTTGTAGGCCGATAACAAACATGAAAACAGTACATAATGTGAAAAGATTAAATGGATATTTATATAATATAGATATATTATACTGCAGAATAAACATCAAATACAACAATAATACAAAATATAGAAATGAAATGAATGGAGTTTTACGTCCTACTTTTCTGCACCATATGGGCTAATGAAGACGGACAAAATATAGAAAGCAAGGTACAGGTATCATGGTCTCTTTTTACGTTCATCAAAAGCAAACAGCACAAAACGAGAAATGCCTTTTGCTATAAAAGGTGGTTGGTCTAATATAATATATAGGTATAAATTTGTAAAATAAGAAATAACGGGTGTTAAAAATTTCGTAATTTACTATGTTCCCCACGAATGGAAGCAGACAGACTTTTAAGCGTTGAACCACGGTGATGCACTTCCCCCTCACCCCGTATACCCGCCTCTTTTGAACTTTTCACTTCCTTAATGGTGTGCGAAAGGGTACCTTTGAAGAAATAAGTAAGAAAGAGCATATAAGAGACGATATCTTGTTTTAACCACCTTATTTAAAAAATTCTGTTGTGTGATATACGTATACCATTTTAAATTCAATATTTCATCAGAGTTGATGTGGAAATTTCATATAGACATAGGTAACGCCCGATGAAAAAGAGAAGAACCATTAAAGGCAACACCTCTTAATACCTGATACCTAATATCTCACCTTGAAATGTATGAGTTTTTATGAAATTTTTGTAGCATGGATGTATTCATTAAGTATAAAATGACTATGTAATAACATATGATGACTGTTACAACCAGCTGTGGTCTAACTAATTAACTAGACTGTTATATCTTAATTACAATATGTTCTAGTAACACTAGATACTTATATAAATAAACAATCCGTTTCAAATAACGTTATCTTCACATGAATTTAACCAGATTACAACTTTTTACCTCTGACATAAAGTGGCTAGGTGTATATATATCTTACTAGGAAAATAAATAATTTGGCATAAAAATATCAAAGGACTTGATATTTACAATATGCCATTTGTTGTTTACCTTTACTACGTATAATCGCTCTGAAATACACTTATAAACTTTTCACTTTCCACTTCCTTTGACACAATTTGAAATTTACGCTATTATTATACTATCATAAAATATACATATCATGTATTATCTTGTCAATAACGTTGCTATAGCTCTGAAAGGTTACAGGTAATTAAAATCAGACCAAACCTTCGCTCTATTTTTTATTAGCCTTCATTTTTAATTAGCAACTCCAGTCAGAGTCTAACGACAGTCCTCTTGAGCATTTATCCGTTAGATCACACCGCTATATAATCAAATTTATTTCTTCCCCAACTCTGGGATTCTCTTCAAAGATCTAGAAAGATGCGGTATGATATCTATCTAAAATAGGCAATTCTATCCACAGGTCAATATATCATCTATCAAAATAAAGTGGTTTCAGCTAAGCTGTGAAACGATACTGTATGATGTCTATTCTCATCTAAGTTATGAACTTCTATCCACATTTCAATCAGATATCATATCACGTTTATCATGATAATATGTGGTTTCCTCTAATATCTTGACAGATACTATGTGCGATATCTATTCAATCTCAGTTTTTATCCACATTATCCACATTCTAATAAGATATCATATCACATCTATCATAATAATATGGTTAAATCTAAGATCTTATCTCAAAAAGTTACTGTATGATATATATGCTCATCTCAGTTGTGCGTTTTTTCAGATCTAGAAAGATACTGTATGATATCTATTCTCATTTCAGTTATAAACTTCTATCCGCATTTCAATCATCTCAGTTATGAACTTCTATCCACAATTCAATCAGATATTAAATCACGAAGGTCTAGAACGATACTGTATGATATCTATTCTCATTTCAGTTATAAACTTCTATCCGCATTTCAATCATCTCAGTTATGAACTTCTATCCACAATTCAATCAGATATTAAATCACGAAGGTCTAGAACGATACTGTATGATATCTATTCTCATTTCAGTTATAAACTTCTATCCGCATTTCAATCATCTCAGTTTAACGTCTATCCTCATCAGATATTATATCACGAAGACCTAGAATGATAGTGTATGCTATCTATTCTCATTTCAGTCATGAATTTATATCCACATTTCAATCAGATACTATATCACGAAGGTCTAGAACGATACTGTAATGATATCTATTCTCATCTCAGTTATGAACTTCTATTAACATTTCAGTCAGATATTAAATCACGAAGGTCTAGAACGATACTGTATGATATCTATTCTCATTTCAGTTATAAACTTCTATCCGCATTTCAATCATCTCAGTTTAACGTCTATCCTCATCAAATATTATATCACGAAGACCTAGAACGATAATGTATGATATCTTATCTCATTTCAGTTATGAACTTCTATCCACATTTCAATAATATTTTAAATCACGTCTAGTGGCGTATTCAGGCAGTGCTTTTCTTTTATGGTCACGTGCCCCCCCCCCCTCTCCCCTCCTCCCACTCCTTCTTGAACCATAAAGTTGCAAAAAAATTCTACTATCACTTCCAAAATCGCGTTAGATGTATTCTCCGGCTACCCACGTTATAAACTTTTCCATGGAGACGCCATACTGGCCCTCCACCATGTTTACTGCCCTCTAAAATCAACAAAGGAATGCAGTGACGATCGGATCACGTCTATCATAATAAGGTGTAAAATAATGTGGTTATATCTAAGCTCTAGAAACATACAGAATAAAATCGTTGCTCATCTTTCAGTAGCAAATAAAAGCATGACACTGTTATGTGGGCTATTATCTCAAAAGATCAAAATGAAACGTGACAAGGAGAAAACACTTTAAGTCGGTTAAACGGTATAGCATGACGCCTTAAAATCTGTTCAGACCATTATGATACATTTTGGAAGTTCGAATTTATTTTACAAAGCTTATATGGAAAGACTCATATAAGAAAAATCATATAATATATATAAACTTTGAATATAAGCAATAATATAATACACTAGCCCAAAATAATTGTTTATAGAATGCGGTAGGCTTAAATGATTTAATGATGTATTCTGTCAACATATCAAAACTCTCGGGTTAAAAAATAGAATTCGTAAATCTGATATGTAGATTCTTGAAAAAGATAAAGAGGTGAATGGATTCGCAGACCTCGCCATAAGCGATTTATTTTAACTATGCGTATATTATAAATTCGAAGACTAGCGTATAAAATGGCATTTTTGCTTTTAAAGCAATGAGCTAACAAAACTTCTTCTTGGCTTCCGATAATGTTTGATGTGATTAATGTCTGAAAGCATTGATTTACGTAACAAACATTGCTATATATAGACATTTATATGATATCACGAAGTATTCAAAGTAAAAATAAATTATTTATATCTAGTAATATGATTATATCACTGTTTTCATTATATAGTGACATGATCATGAATATTCATAGTTGATATTGATAATTTTTATATTTTTGTAAATTGATCAGGTTAATTTTATTGCATCTAATATTCAACCATGCAGTAATTATTTTATTACTTCATACAGTTATTGCTTCAAACAACCATTTCAATTCTTCAAACAGTCATTTCATTACTTCAGATACTCATTTCATTACTTCAATTACTTCAAACTGTCGTTTCATTACTTTAGACTCGTTCCATTACTTTAAACAGTCATTTCATTACAATAGACAACAATTTTATTATTTCAGACAATCGTTTAATTACTTCAAACAGTCATTTGATTACATCTAACACTCATTTCATTACTTCAGACAATCGTTTCATTAATTCCCATTACTTCAAACAGTCATTTGATTACATCTAACACTCATTTCATTACTTCAGACAATCATTTCATTACTTACAGCTTTTTACAAACATAAATATCAACGAATACGTGTTTATCACACAGTTCGAATGTGTTGAAAAAGAAAATGTTGTCATGTATTTATATTTTGATCTTAAATATATCTTGTCTGGCTGCTAGGCAACATAAAACGACCGTAAAACTTAGAAACCGTATAAATTTTAAATGTAATGAACTTGAGCATCATGTCCAAATAACAAATACCAAAAACATATATTACGTAATACAATTATTACTCTGAAAACACAAAATGTTTATTTACAGTCATATAACCTACTTTCGTGCGAAACTAATTCCATGTCTCCCCGGAAATAATAACTAATTTACAGGTGCGACCTCGCGTGACCTCCGCATTTGCATGGTTTGATAAACATGGGTTATCTCTACAACGTCAACCTGCAGAATTTCTCCTATCGTTTCCAATTTGGAAAACGATCATTTTGTCAGTCAATATTTTCTTTTTTTAATTCATTGTATATCGAGCTTCTGGTATAGTTTCATATTGAACGTCTGATATAAATCACATCGAACCTCTGATACAATTCATATGGAACCTCTGGAATAATTCATATGAAATCTCTGATATAATTCATAATTATCCAACCTCTGGTATAATTCATACCGAACCTCGTAGATAATTCATATTGAACCTTTGATATAAGTCACATCGAACCTCTGATATAAGTCATATCGAACCTCTGGTATAATTCATAAGGAATCTCTGATATAATTCATATGGAACCGCTAGTAAAATTCATATAGAACCTCTGATATAATACATTTGGAACCTCAGACATAATTCATATGGAACCTCTGATATAATACATGTGGAACCTCTGATATAATACATATGGAATCTCTGATATAACCCTCACGGAACCTCTGATATAATTCATATGGAACCTTTAGTATAATTCATATGGAACCTCTGGTATAATTCACATGAAACCTCTGATATAATACATATGGAACCTCTGATATAATTCATACGGAACCTGTGATATAATCCATATGGAACCTCTGGTATAATTCATGTGGAACCTCTGATATAATTCATACGGAACCTCTGATATAATCCATATGGAACCTCTGATATAATCCATAATGAAACCTCTGATATAATACATATGGAACCTCTGATATAATTCAGATAGAACCTCTGATATAATACATATGGAACCTCTGATATAATTCAGATAGAACCTCTGACATAATTGATACGGAACCTCTGATACAATTTATATCGAACATCTGGTGTAATCCATACGGAACCTCTGATATAATACATATGGAACATCTGGTATAATCCATATGGAACCTCTGGTATAATTCATACGGAACCTCTGATACAATCTATATCGAACATCTGGTATAATCCATATGGAACCTCTGGTATAATACATACGGAACCTCTGATATAATTCTTATGGAACCTCTAGTATAATCCATATGGAACCTCTGATATAATACATATGGAACCTCAGATATAATTCATATGGAACCTGATATAATCCACACGAAACCTCTGATATAATACATATGGAACCTCTGATATAATTCATACTGAACCTCTGATATAATCCATATGGAACCTCTGATATAATTCATATGGAACCTCTGATATAATTTACATGGAACCACTGATATGATTCATATGGAACCTCTGATATAATTCATATGGAACCTCTGATATAATACATATGGAACCTCTGATATAATTCATACGGAACCTCTGGTATAATCCACATGAAACCTCTGATATAATTCATGTGGAAATTCTGGTTTAATCCACATGAAACCACTGATATGATTCATATCGAACCTCTGATATAATTCATATCGAACCTCGAATATAATTCAAATTGAACCTCTGGTATAATTTATATGGAACCTTTGGTATAATCCATATGGAACCTCTGATAAAATCCATATGGAACCTCTGGTATAATCCATATGGAACCTCTGGTATAATTTATATCGAACCGTTGATAAAATTTATATCGAACCTCTAATATATAATTCATATAGAGTCTCTTATAGTTATCTGTCCCTATAATATGTCATACCATATGTCTTTATAGTTAAATCAATCTTTGCTTATAATATGTCATACACTAGGTCTTTATTGTTGATTAAATCTCCATTAGTCATACAATAAGTATATGATTATAGTTGATTCAATATTTCTTTTATTTCTTGGAAACGAGCCTCTGAGATGATTCATTCGGAACCTCTGACATAATTCAATTTAAGCCGCCGACATAATTCATAGTGATAGTTCATATCGAGTTCATATGATACGGTTCATTTCGATTCTCTGAGATATTATATATATATATATATATATTATATATATATATAGCATCCTTAGGCGATATTAAAGTTTGAATTTGAATGTTATGTTTGCCCTTAAGGCCAACAGATTGTTTTTTCATTCATTTCATGCAAGGTTTGTCACAATGTTATATACACAAATATATATTTCTATGAAATATAATTCTTCACTACATCCAGGTAATTAAATACCTACTTGAAGTACATATATTTTGACAAGCAATGACTTTCAATGACAATATTTTTTACACTGTCATACCAAGGTTATATTCAGATGGTATCTTTACTTGTCCCGTCAAGTATATAGGCCTACGTTTACCTACACTGGAACTATATTTTTCTTTCACAGGTATAAAAACATATTTGCTGTTAGCTAGAGACGACGCTAAAAAGGACCACCGAACCAGTTACAATTTCTCATAATTGATAAGATTCCTCATGCCTAATATACTCTGTATAATGAACGCCTTGCTGTCGCAACCATGTCATTTTATATACTTGAACCGGCTCTAATATTTCTATTTTCTACACGGATTACTATATACATGCTGTTACAGGTAGATCGTTACCGCCCTCTTTAAACCCTTCTTAAATAAGTCAATTGTTTCATATACCTGTCTTACCTTACACTTCTTTGGGCCATCGAAATTTATATTCTACCTCTAGGTATTTAACACAAGTTATCTGCCAAAATCTACTTCGTGCTATCATGCATATCAAAAAATACTAAGATTGTTTTATTGTGTGTGTATAATTGTTACGAGTGTTTTCCTGGATAATTTAAACAGAGATCTAAGTTTATCTATCATGGAACTATATTCTGATTTATATGAAAGGTAAGTGCTACATAATAATTCTCCTATCCTTTTATGAAGAACGCATAGCTTAATAATATATGAGTAATACATAATATAGCTCAACTATGATAAAGGTAAAACAGAAGTCTGTTTGGTAAAAGGCATAAGATACTGGCAAAATAACATGTGCCGATTCGCCATACAAATGGTACCATGTTACGTATTTACATATGTATGGCACAAGTTTCAACAAGAAAGTTCAAGGGTGAAGGTTGTCCCAATGTTGTTTTAGGAGATATAAGTATTAAGATTATTGTCTTATTATTGAGTGTTGAGTTGAATGAGAAATAAAGCAGATGACTTCAAGATTATCTACCTTAATTCTTCTGAACTTATCTACTAATCATCAACGTACACTTGACCTAAATGGACGACAGCAGTGCTGTATATTACCTAATGATGTAATAAATTGAACTACACTTTGTGATCTCAAATAAGATTCAATAATTCCATGGGCAGGCCAGTTTGTTACATCGAAGTCAATTTATCAGTTACAATTTATTAAATTTTATGTAATAAATTCCAAATCCCTAGGACTAGGCCTACAATATCAGTAGCATTTATTACTGGATCATTATTAGCAATAATCAACTTCGCTTCCTCATAAAAATTATTTCCTCCACTACATATGACATGTATTAGGTCTATTATCTTATTGCTAGGTAGCTGACCGAGATTAACCTTTCAAAACGAAACGCGGAAGAATTCCTCGTTCCTTATTTGTTTGGTTATTACAAACAAGTAAATGCGATTTGCAAAATGGAGTTGTGCATATAATAGAAAAACAATCTGTTTAATGCAGATCAAAACTAAAAACTTAAAAATGTTACTCGCCGTATTTGGTCAAAGGTCTAGCCTAATGAATCTGTCTTGAACTTAGTAGCCTATTTGAAAAGGGGGGAATATTCATGTTTCATTTCTTTCTGTTGGTTGAGTCTATAGGTCCTTATACTCAGTGGGCATTATTATATTAAACAAATATAGCCTATGGGCAACTTTGACCTAGGCTAGACCTAAGTAAGCTAATGCTTATCGTAGCCTATTGACTCCCTCTTTCCTGGATCTAGGTGATAAAGCATAGCCTTAGTAAGATCGTTTGTAGGGCCTTTGTCAAAGTCATCTCTAAATCTAAAATAGGACGAGCCATTCAAAAATTCTTACTACGTGGCCTAGGCCGACCCTAAGTTGTGTAGGCCTATAGGTTAGGCCTAGGCATAGGCCTAGCTGACATGACTTTAGTCACATACTTTCTTTGGCCTAGTCATACAAGTCATCAGACAAATCAGACTCCAGACCGAGCCTATGGGACATGTGCTAGACTAGTCCTTTTTTTTAGGCCAAAATGGCTGAACAAGCCGTGTCAACAATTCAGGCCTAGTCTATTCTAGGCCTACTATCAGATTCTAAGGTCTGAATATAATATGACAAACTTGTGTTAAAGTATTCAACTAATAAGCTAATTCTAACTGCAAGCCAAGGCAAAATAAATAAATATTTATTAGCCTAGTAGCCTAAGTAGGCTATGGCTAGGCCTAGGTTTCATTCGGATCTTTGACTGGAAAACTGCAGCAAACCTGGATTATAGCTTTGATTTCCTGATTTCAATAGTATCAACCTACTGTGGACTTCTCGTGTCGATTATTTATACAACACGTGCCATAAGTCTGTCGGCTGCTCTGATTATTATTGAGAAAAGGCATTGTGGGTATAACCGTCCGCCATATTGTTGTATGTTTGTGCTGTCTTGTCTGTGTGTGTTTTCACGTGGAAAAAGGTAAAAAAGGTAATGTGACTGCTTTCAAATATGCACACTGCGATTACACTATATAGTAGTGAATCATAAAACGATTATGCGGCTCTATTTTAAAAGACCAGGCCTACCGTAAACACAGGTAGACTTGTATGTTAGCTCATATGTGTATGAAGACAGATCATATCATATGTTCTGATCTCAACTCAATAGCTTAACTGTAGGTCTGCTTTTTCAGCGACACTGCGACCTTGCAAGAAATTTGTGCCGTGCTAAATTATTTTGCAGGAACAATTTTCAATGTAGGCTTATGTCCTTGGTCTTGGATAAAGTATTGAAATAAATGAATCAAAAACATGACTAAGCCTAGCTTAAATTTATTAAATGACTAATATTTATAATTGTAGATCCCTTATCTGAATAAAATATTACCATAGGCTACCCTTATGTAAATATATTAATTAGGCTAGCCTATTAGGAACTAGGCCTACAAAAAGAAATTTTTTGTCTCATTCATATTTGCTAATCTGCTACTATTATTTGCTAGACAACACTGTGGTTTAATGGAATGAAATAATAATAATGATATTGAATATGCAACTCCAAAATTAAAAGATTCATTTATTTGATTTCAATAAAGAAGTGATTTATGTGCCTATCTAGTCAGAAACTATACAGTTTTTTTTTAACACAAGTGAAATTGGGTACATAGCCTATAAGATATTGAAGAAACATTTTTAAGCTTCCATATCATGATTGGTATTTTCTTTGAAAATTTTGTATGTGCTCTGACAACTTCTCATGAATTAAAGATTGTTGTACTATAATATTAATGATTTTTTATAAAAACCAGTCTTCAAATCTATTGCCGGGTACTGCGAAAAGGTTTAAGAAATATTCTTCTGTAAATATATAACATACTGCAGCAATAAACAGAATTAACCCAATTCAATACGGAGATGCACAATACTTTAGAATTAAAGTCTGAGGTCCTGTTTGAATTATACATGAAGTCCACAACCAATTTAGATTGTCATTTCAAAGCTGTCTAGAGTGCCATTGAGGGGATTTTTATTATTAATTACAGAAATTTTTGGGCTTGAAATGCCATACCATTAGCAAATATTTGTAACATTGAAATATTGCATCAGCTATAATATAAATTGAAGTGGCATGTCAAGGTGAAGTATAAAACTAAAAATCCTTATTTCACAAAAATTAATACATTTTGCATATGTAAAGCTAATTAATGAAGCTAATTTGATAAACAAAACCATAAATAATAACATATCATGGTATGACTGTTTAAACATATCATACACAAGTTTAAAAAGAGTATTATTTGTACAATTTGCTACTTGTAAATCAATTTGAACCATGTTGTTGAGATAAACTGTTGTAAACAAAGGTAGCTAATAGTATAGTTAAACCTTGTTCAACTATTGTTTCCTGTGTAACTGTTTAGTATGTGATATTATGAAGATTAGGAGATAATAATTTATGATAAATATTATTCCTTTGACCTGTTTTATTTAACTATTGTTACCCTAGAATAGAGTCATTGCCAGTATCAATATATTGTTAATATTTGTATTGGAATAAACTTTACTCTAAAATTTCAGTTTTGTTGGCTTAGTCTTTTGTACTCTTAGTCTATATGCCCAAAGTTCATAAATTTTGGTGTGTAATCCTACTGTCCTAGGGTCTAACTTTGAAAAGCTGAAAAACTAAACACAAGACCTCTTTTCACTTTTGCCAAATCTGAAATGTGTGTTGGATTAAACTAATTATGTAAGTTACATTTATAAGTACAGTTACATAGAAATACAGTGCAATACAGTGCACAATTGAATAGTGTTTCTTAATACTCCGATGTGATGTTATTATTATCAGCTGGTGATGTGTAGACTTTGATTATAAAAAGTAAACTCAAAAATAACCTTTATTCAAAATTTAGGTTTGAATTGATCAAGTTTCACTTTTCATTATTATGACATATTAGGTCCTCTTCAGAAACTCAGAAGGAATAAAATGCTATTAAGTATTTTGAATGACCCTTTTATATTTAATGTTGTTCAAACAGTAGAAAAGTATGTGTTTTTAAAAGATTATCTATGTAACTTGCTAAGGGATAATGAAATAGTAGTCCTTTATGGTGGGTATTGTTCTTGAGTAATGATATGCAACAGGCTTAACTGTTAAAGCTAGAGCAAAATTATGTCATAACCTACAAACAAGGCTCAACTTGTTATAAAGAGATACTTTAGTAGGTTTGTAATCTGTCTCATGTTCTTGTGGTTTTAACTAGTTTTTAGTCGAGTTCAGTAGGACTAGTACTAAAGTTGAACAGTAGGTTTTACCATTAATGTTTATTTTTGTCAGTTCTGTTTAACTTTCAACTATCCCATAGTAATGTGCCAAGCAGTTAAAATTGCCAAAAATAATACCCCCCATTCTTCTATTTTTTCTCTTCGTGTTTGACAAACCTATCCACTTTCTAAATACTAAGTGAAAAGTTAAGCTTTTAATTCTAGTGAAAAGCTGTTGTAAACATTTGGGAATCTTAATTGAAAATCAAATGACATTTTCTCTCCACTCTCCATTGATTTTGGCTTCAAAGTCTTTCTAATGCTAATAGGTCATTTAAAGTTATTTTTGTTTCTCAACAAGACTGCATTTCATGAAACTTTGCACGCAACTGATTGCTTTTTATTTGCAGATTTCAAGGTTGATTCACAGTTTGGAGTAATTATGTGTGTTTTCTGACATTCTCGGTATAGGATATTTTAAAATTATCTACAGTTTTACCGTTGTATCCTTTCAGAACCATGAATTCCCAACCACAGAAAAATGAACCGGACCCAGATGCTATAAAAATGTTTATTGGACAGATTCCACGTGGTATGGATGAAAATGACTTGAGAAAAATGTGTGAAGAATTTGGACCAGTATTTCAGTTAAATGTATTAAGAGATAAAGTCACGGGGCAAAGTAAAGGTAAGTAACTACTTAAAACTGTGAGAGCTTGATTTCAGAATCCTGAATGCCAATATATTATATTTAGGCATGTTTTAAATCATAAGAAATTTTGCTCCGATTTGAGTAAGATAATTTAGAATTTTTTTTACCTAAGTAACTTGTTATCAAAGGGTTACTCTGTGAATGATTTGTTGTGCAATACCTAGGTTTCTTGGCCTGTTAATTTTTTTCTGAAAGTGAACTGATGTTTATTATGGTTAGTATTTTTATAAATTTATTTTTAGGTTGTTGTTTTGTTACATATTATAGTAGAAAATCTGCCCTGGATGCTCAGAATGCTCTTCACAATATCAAAACAATGCCAGGTGTAAGTAATTCTTATCAGATTTTCCCCCTGGATTCCATTGCTTTTATTTTGATAATCAGCCATGTTGTATTAACCTCTTAATGAATAGAGAGCATTTGATAAGCTGTAATAAGTTGAACACACATTTAAAATAAATGTATTTGGTCTAGGTTTGAGCCAAGTAAACATGCAGAAAATAAATGATTTATCTGTTTTGTGGTGGATCCAAAAATCCCTGTGAAATGCAATTGTGAATATTTAATCATCAAGCAATGATGACATCTAAGCTTATATATGAATTAAAACCAAGAGTTTAGATAAAAACTTTCTATTCTCTGTGTTTTCTAGATGCATCATCCAATTCAAATGAAGCCAGCAGACAGTGAAAAACGCAATGGTAAGTATTTGATTGTTGCAACTATGATTGAATCAGCAATTAATGTTTGACTGTTTTTACAAAAGATGCTTCACTCTTGAAAATTCATAAATTGTTTATTTTAAGTGTCAGAAAGCAGATTTTCATTGCTTTATGACAGGTATATTGAGACAGTGCCTAGACATTTGACATTGACAAATTGAAAGAGAGTGTTAAATTACTCTACTGATATTGAAAAATAGGGTACATTTAGATTAAAGATTGTGTCTCTAACTCTTTTTAGAGACATGAAGGTGTTGTGACTTCTGTAAAGTATCTTCGCATGCATAAACACTAATGTCTCATCTACGAGGTAGCTATTTGAGTTGCACATTAACATCATTTAATTTTTTGATCAAGAAGATTTTATGTAAAGGAAGGCAATTTCATCATCCGTATACATATTTAACCCCTATATCAAATAACTTGGCTTACTCTTAAATGTCATACTATATGCATTATTAAGATATTAATTCATCTTTTTTATCATATTTCATCCTCATTTAACATTATCAATCAGGTATTTCCAATTCTACAGTGGAAGATCGGAAACTATTTGTTGGTATGTTGGCTAAGAAATTAAATGAAAATGATGTACGCATGATGTTTGCTCCGTTTGGTTCTATAGAAGATTGTACGGTATTAAGAGATCAGAATGGTCAGAGTAGAGGTATGTTATTATAGTTCAGAATAAGTTTCAGTCTAAAGCAGACTGGTAGATACACTTTTTTTTCTAGATTTTATCCCAAATATTAGAATTATAGGGTTAGGGCACATATAATCTGAGAAAATATGAAAGTTCATTTTCAATTGTGATTCGTAAAAAACAACTACACACCAAATGCACATCAAAACTTTCCTGAAAAATTCATCACAAAATATAGACAACATATTAGCATGAAACTAAAAATGAAGTGTGTGCTACTGATCTGTGTAAGTGATCTGTGTTACTTATATGATTTATATTATAATTACAGGTTGTGCATTTATAACATACGCCAACAGACAGAGTGCCCAGAATTGTATCAAAAATATGCATCATTCACAAACAATGGAGGTAAGATCTTACTAATTCTACATGAAATATATCAATTTTTTCACAGTTAGAAAAGTTCTCTATGAATTATTAACAAAACTATGTAGAAATATTAAAACATTACTCAGATTGCTCTTAATGAAACTCTGAGTAAACTCAAACTTCCAGTTCTGTTTTTATGCATTTTTATACGCCCACACATAAGATGTAATAAATAATAAAACTTGACATCAAATACCATCCTTTAATAATAGATATTGTAATTTTAATCTTAACTGCCTTCCACCATTTGTAGTTTGTTTCTTCCCCTGATGAAGTCAAAACTTTTTTGACGAAACGTTGGGTATTAAAGGATGGTATTTGATGTCAAGTTTTTATTATTTATTACACCAAGTTCAGTATACATCAAATGAATCGCTGTACTACTAGTGGTATTGGTGATCCCATCAAAAGTCTTCTGTGATTGGTTATTGCTGCCTGTTTTTTCTTTTTGAAACCACACATAAGATGGGCGTATATTGTAATCACCCTGTCCGTCCCTGGCAAGCTATCTTTAATATTTCACAATATGATTTTTGAAAATTTTAAAGCTCATCTTTTTTCATAGAGGGGGATCGTTGCCAAAAGTATTCACAAAGTCAAACTTGAAAACAAGGCGTTGACTTTACAAAGTCATATTTCAACATTACACAATTACAAAATAAACCTTCCTAAAATTAAAAAGTCAATGTACTAATTACAAAGTAGAGATATTGATAGTTTACTTTTCAAACTTTATTTCACATCAGACACCATTCAAACTTTCCTTTACGAAAATGAATTCTTAACTTTGCATTATTGACAATATCAACTATGTCTTCTTGACTTTGCATTCGTGAAAGATGTAAGTTCGACCACTGTATTCTTAAGAGCTGTAAAGTCAACTTCTGCATTCTTAAACGTTTACCATATAAGGTAACGTGACCTACTTCATTTACATAATCCGGAAATTCACAGAAACTAACGGAAATATAAATCAATAATTGCTCCTTGTCAAAGGGATTTAACACTAAATAAGCTTCAAAATCGGATGTTCAAATGCGGCATTGGTCAATTGACACTTCGTCATTACTTCAGTGGCTGGCCAATTTTTGTGGCCGATGGATACACTAATTTTTTGGATTGATTGTAATTGTTGTAATTAAATCAAAAAACGAAAAATTTGTAATTTGTTTCTTATTCAAATAAAACCTCTAAAAAGTCGTGTAATGAATAGAATCATTACATAGTTCTCAACATTTCTTTGGCCAGTGACAGATATCCAATATGGATATTGAAAATGGCCAATTTTTTCCAATGGTCTCCTTTGGAATTATGAATGCAATTGTTGGTGCCATTGAGGTTCTGAGATGCTAAATCTAACATATTAAGGTGTACAATTGGGAGAAATGCTTTTTATCCTATAATCGCTAAAATATGGCCAGTGACGAATATCCAATTTGGCGGACTTTCGAGGCCTTGTTTTCAAGTTTGACTTTGTAAATACTTCTGGCAACGATCCCCCTCCTTAGTTTTCACACAAAAATTATTCAAATAGAAAGATACTAAGGTATAGGGTTATATTTTCTGATCTATTTTTTGAGTTTGTTTTGTTATTTTAGGGTTGTTCATCACCATTGGTTGTGAAGTTTGCAGACACACAGAAAGAAAAAGAAGCAAAGAAATTACAGCAGATGACATCAAATTTATGGAACATGTCTTTAGGTGGTTTGGGAGCTTTAGGTCCACAATATTTAGCAGTAAGTGAGGTTGATTTCTATATTTCAAATCTGCTGGTGAATAGTTTTGAAATGAGCAATGGCATTATAGTGGACTTGCTGATATGTAATTTGTACAGTTTACAGGTGAAATTTACTGCCATTTGGTCAAAATAGGTCTTCTATACATAGTAATAGATGTGGATGAACTTTCCTTATAATCTATAACTCAAATATACACATCAATGTACTCAAATTAAGCTCTTTCAATATTAATATGACTGATGACACATTATCTCTACCTATTTCAGTTACTACAACAGGCGGCATCTCAAGGAAATATGGGTAAGATTGTTTTGAATTTGATCTAGGAAGGATTATTTGTCAAAATGTTTGGCAAAACCAACTGATATGCATTATATTCAGATTCCAGAATGGAAACCTTGTTGGTTGTACTCTAAACCGTTTTCATTGTGACTATAACTGACTCCCTAGAGTGTTCAGTTTAGAATTCTCAAGAACAGAACATTAAAGTTACAAATATACATATTTTGCTGACATCTTTTTTTCAAAGATCTTACAATTCTTCTCTCTCTCCTAATATAGGAGCCGTGGTGGCTCAGTGAGTTAGATGCTTTCTCGCTAACCTGAAGGTCCAGGGTTAAATCCCGGCATAGGTTGAGATGAAATCTTCGGATTTTTCAACCTGGTTTCCCCCTCTCAGTGATGCAGGTAAGAGGGGCACATTAAAGATCCCTCAAGAGTTGGAAATTGAAAAAGAGCAGGCTAATGCAAAATTTCCCTCATTGCACCCTTCATTAGCCCATATGGTGCAGAAAAGTAGGACGTAAAACTCCATTCATTTCATTTCTCTCCTAATATAATTTTTTTTTAATTTTATAGTTCCAGGTATGAATACTCTTGGTTTACAACAGTTATTGACAGCTATAGCTGCTGCTTCAGCTACAAACCCTGGTAATTATACTTCATTTTATACCTTCACCTTAATACAACACAATTACAAACATTATTTTTAATCGTTTGACCTATTTTGGCTAGAGCACACCTTTAATTTATTTAGAATGCATGTTTATAATCTAATATTGTCCGAATTTTAACTGTGATCTGATATTGGAGAAACTCTGATAGAGATGCGATCAATAATTTTTTTGTTTGAAAACACTAAGATGTATGAAAGAATTTCCTAGAAGATTTTGAATCCTGAATGTATCCTATAACAAAGCTAATAGTAAGATTGTTTTTAATACGAATACACATTAATATGATTTTCTAATATTGTGCTATAGGCATATTGGCAGCCCTAGCCAGTTTGACTACAAGTAACCCATCTAGTGCCGGTAATAATGGCACAACCAGTTCGAATTTAAACAACCATTCCTCAGGTATCATCATAACTCAATCTACTGTTTGTGCTCATTAGACTTGATTAGAATTCTCAGATCTTTTCTTATTTACACTTGGTTAACCCAAGTTTCATTTTGGCTGTCTTGACATAGTAACTAATTCAAAAGAAATAGTTAACTAAATTCTATACTTAACTTTCTCTGATAATCTTTCCAAAATTTTCCTGATGAATAGATTAATAAGTATTTTCAGGTAATTTTAATTCTGCAATAAATCAATGCTTCAAGAATGTTAAAATGATTTTCATTTTAATTGAATTCAATGATAGCTCACATATAAAGATCTGAAAATTCCACTTTTTTTATTGCCTGTAATTATTATGATACATTTTTATATGCATGATTTCCTTTTCAGCTTTTTTCACTTGATATTTTATACTTTTTCCATTTTATTATCCATTGTCGTGTGACATTTACTGGCTTTTTTTCTTATCAAGTTTTGCTTGATTAGAGAGAGGTATACTATTTGTGTGTTCTGAAAAAAAGGCATCTTTTTAAATACAGCCTAATGTACCATTTCTTTTTTTAACAGAATATAATTTAGGTCAAGGAATAATTTTTTAGAAAAAAATTTTTAAAAAGAGATATTTAAAAGGGGGAAAATGTAAATAATTATAGTGTTATCTCAACCTCGGGACAAATCCATGATTTTTGTGGAAACGGGCAAAACCGGATCTATTGGCCTATTGAATACTGAATGACACAACTTTTGAAATAAATTATTACTGACTCTTCTTTCAGTCATGACAATGCATGATTTGAAAAACACTAAAAGCATATTAATAAAGCTGCTATTTCAGTGTGTGGTTTTCAAGATTACTAACAATTACTAATTTTTCATTTTGTTTTATTAGAATCTATATTTTCTTTTTCTTAGCCATCAATTCGCGTTACTTAAAAATCCTGTTTGAAAATTCCATGTCATGCACATATAGGTATATTCAACACATTTAAGATATGAAAAATAAAATTTTAGTCTTTATATGGAATTAAATTTGTAAATGTTATCTTTTCTCAATGATAGAGTACAAATTTGTATCAATATGAATATAAAATCATACATTTCTGTTTTATTTTTTCAGTTGAGGGCCAAAATAATGTCCATTTACAAAATTTACAAGGAATCGCTGCATTGGCTAGTCTAGCTCAAAATCCAGGTTTGTCTTATAGTACCTACTTAAAAATAAAAAATGCCCTCCTGGACAGTGAACAAGGAATATCAACAGTTTTTGAAAAAGTTTAAGAAAAAGTTTGTCATTTCCATCAGTATGGCTTGGAAACAGTCACAATATAGAGAAAATGACATTCTATATCCAGATCTTTTTCATTTCAGCAACACTCAATGCTTTAGGAGTTCAAAACTTGGGTTTAAGTCAGTTTGCCTCAGCAACTAGTCAAAGTCCAGCAAGTGTATCAGGTTAGTTAGTTAAAGTTTTTCATATACATATCATAAAAACATTTCCAGTTTTTGTCAGAAATATTAAAATTAGGTAAATATATTTGTATGCTTTGATTCTAATTTTCATATATTACTCATTTCAATGCAGCATTACATGGAAAAGTGGCCCATTTTGGTGAGACTGTGTTCAGTAAATGTTAAATACTTGATGTTATTTTTTTTGTTTCGATATTTATTGAGTTGTATTCATTTATTCATCAGTTCATATTTGTGTTGATTTTTATTCTTATTTGTTGTGTTTATTCTCTAAATTCTTTTTGATAATTCAATACAATATGTTATACCTTTCTGAATGAATCATTTGAACCAAATGAATTTATACCATCATAACATCTACTTTGTTGACATGAATGTATACCATTATGACACCACTATAATCTGTTCACATGAATTTATACCATTAAGAAATCTGATCTTTTTACATGAATTTACACCATTATGAGCCATCTGATCTGTTTACATGAATTTACACCATTATGACTTATGAGCCATCTAATCTGTTTACATGAATTTACACCAGTTATGTACCATCTGATTAGTTTACTTGAATTTATACCATTAAGAAATCTGATCTGTTTAAATGGATTTATGCCATTATGAACCATCAGATTTCTTTACATGAATTTACACCATTATGAACCATCGGATCTGTTTACTTGAGATTATGACATCAGATCTGTTTACTTGAGATTATGACATCAGATCTGTTTACTTGAGATTATGACATCCGATCTGTTTACATGGATTTTTATACCATTATGAACCATCTAAAATGCTTACCACTGAGTCTGTTTCATTAAGTTAAGCTTATATCATTATGAACAAGATTACTTATTTACATCATCAATATCCACAACCTGCTCATTCCTTAACCTATAGATGAAATCATCAAATAAATATGGTTTTTTATTTATAATATTGAAATTGTTGTTATATGAAGAATCCAATTGTAGGCTCCATATCTGGTACAACGACATCAAGTGGTTTAGGTGGTTTATCAGGTTTCCAGGGATTAGGAGGCAATAATTTATCAAGTATATCCAGTTTTAATCAAGTACCAAGTCTAGCTAATGGTTTAGGTAACTCAAATACTGGTGGAATGGATGCTTTAAGTCAAGCATATAGTGGAATACAGCAATATGCAGGTTTGTCAGGTTTAATCAATCAAGGTAAACATCCATTTCCATTTTTCTTCACATTGGTTTGTTGTATTTTGGACTCAGTGACACCCTTTTGTTGTGCTGCTAGTTTTGTTTGTGTCACCTACTATTTTATATTTTATTCTCTGTTCCATTTGGATATTGAATTTGAATTTTCAAGAAATTGCAATGAAAAGAAAAATTTCAGGCAAACAAAAAATTAAAATTAAACCAAAATAAAAGATTGTGAAATAATATATAACAGAGAGTAAGATATGAATATTATAAACCAGTGTGATACATGAATTATAATATAATAGTGATACCTAGTATCAAACTATATATTATATGAAGTGTATAGCAAAATGTATGGATTATACTTTATCTGAGAGATACAGCAATCTTTATTCAAAATTAAAATATCTTTTGATGTTTGATACAAGACAAGATTGCTGAATTTTACCAGAAATTAACCAAAGCTTACCTTTTCTTATGACTAGTATTAACAAAGCTGGGAGTTATTAAATGGCCAAAGAAAACACCCATGGTTTTTAAATGAAAATAAAAAGCTCAAATGAAAAGAAACTTAAAACATCTAGAGAATTTTCATTTCCAGCTTTGTCAAAATTGCTTGTTATTGACTTAATAACATGTATTTGGAATAGTCATCAATTAATAAGCATACTTATTACTGAATTAATCAAGTTGGCATAATTTCTTTGTCTTTAAGTGTTGAAGTGTATCACACTCTCACATAATTTTATTCAAATGAATTGACTCTTGTAGGCTTAGCATTTGATTGACAATTTGTCACTTCTACTTGTATATTATTCAAAATTTTGCTCCCGCTATCAAAAAATGTTCATCTGTGGCATTATTTATTCCTTAATATCACTGTTTTAATCTTGTAGAAATATTCCTAAAAACAAGAGCTATATACCATCTATACAATCATCTCTCCTTTATATGTATTATGTTATTATAGACATTATTTACGCTATTGTGATGTTATGTTATATATAACAGCATGGTATGATACTGACTCTGTTGTTTTGCTCCTTAATCTTAGAATAATTCATATAATTGCATGTGATTAATTCTTGTTGAAATCCTTAAGATTTTCATTCTTCAAATAAATATAGATACAAACCTCATTGACAATCCTTCTTTAAATCATTATTTCATCAATTGTTATACAAATTACAAAATTCCTCAGAGCTGCAACCAAGTGGAATTTTGAGTTTTTGCTGTGAAACCATAGTAATATATTAAAGAGATATTTCAACACAATATTTGGTTGTAAATCTTATTGGATTCTTTTATCTTGATCAAATATTTCTTTGAATATCATAATTGTGGATTTGTTAATCTTTGGAATACAATTAACACAGCATTACTCTGATTAAATGCTCATTTTCAAAAGTAAAACTACTAGTACTAAAATGAATTATGAAATATTTCAAACCAATTATGTTAATCTGACATGTGTGTGTTGGCAATATTGTTCCTTTAATTAGGATTGCTTCTGAATGTTTATATTAGCAGACTTGCACCAAGGTGGATGTTACCGTTGTAAAAGAAAGTCATTAAAGGGAGATAATAACGTAATGATCAGATTGTATTGGGTTGTGTTGTTATAGTGATATATTTGTAAGCTTATACTGGGCTTGACATTAATTCTAATCCATTATCATCTTTCAATTCTTTCAGCCTCTTTTCCTAATGCCTTTAACAATCCTTCAGCACAATTACAGCAAGCTACAGTATCCAATAGCTCACCTATAGGTAAACAGTCTGAGGGTAAGTTGTTATATTACATTCTTTCAGAGAGGTGAGATTTGACATCTTAAAGAGTTAAATCTTTACAGAAGGTTAACATCTGCATTATCAGCTATATTACTCTCAGATCTAGAATAAAATTTTTGGTTTGTTCTGCAATTCAACAAAACATTCTTGAGTTCTTGAAGTTTATAGGGACAGGGAGCCGCTGTGGCTCAGTGGATTAGACACTTGCTCACTAACCTGAATGTCCAGGGTTTAATCTCGACATAGGTCGAGATAATGCCCTCAAGGTGCAGAAAATTAGGACTTAAATTCATTTTTTCAAAGTTTCTAAATTTTCACCAGCAGTTTTTCCCATGACAAGATGATTATGTTAATATAAGATGTAAGATTGTTGATTATATTATCCTTCATGGTACTTTTTTGCTGAAGTATTGTCCCATTTTATTTTTAAAAAAGTAACTTATTATGGAATTAAGCTGATGACACAAATAAAGCGTGATAGATGCCTTACACTTTGTTGTGAAAGAAAATTAAGGTAGATTCAAATTTTTGTTTTGTGAATATATGTTATTATTATTTTCAGTTGTAATTGATTTGTATTTCAGGACCTGATGGTGCAAATCTTTTTATTTATCATCTTCCTCAAGAATTTACAGATCCTGATCTATCTCAGATGTTCTTGCCTTTTGGAAATGTGGTTTCAGCAAAAGTTTTCATAGATAAACAAACAAATTTGAGTAAATGTTTTGGTAAGTTACTTAAGGTTTTCTTCTTTCCTGGCAGGTTAAAGATGGGGGCACACAAGCAGTCTTGGTCTGAGATTTTTATCTCTGACTCGAATCTTGAGTAAAATCTCGCGTGTGCCCGTGCTTCCACAACAAGAGTATTGTGTCGCTAACAGGATTTAAAATATCAAACAAGCTTGATAATTGTCTCTGCCAGACTGGAGATTTTTGTCTCCTCTTGTGTCTGTGCCAGCTGTTGAAACTCAAGACAAGACTCTAATCAGTGACAAAAGTATCCGACCAAGACAGACAGCTTGTGTGCCCACACCTTTAAAGTGCTCTTTTAGATTCCTTAACCCGATTCCCCACTGTCAGAAATGGGCCAAAATGAAAACATTGTCTAGTTGTTCATATGGGACATAAATGTAGGCTTTATGGGCTAGACTTTTTCTAACAATGCTATTGCTGCTTTCATGGAAATTGTTTTCTCTATGCAAACTATTTGTCAAATTTTGGCCCTTTTTTAAAGAAAAAAAAAACAATTATTTTTCAAGTGACATCATTTACTTGTAGGTTTTGTGAGTTATGACAGTCCTAGCTCAGCTCAGTCAGCAATACAGGCAATGAATGGATTTCAAATAGGCATGAAGAGACTCAAAGTTCAGTTGAAACGTCCAAAACATGACAACAAGCCATATTAGAGGAAATAATAAGGTAGGTCCATAATATCAGGTATTTATTATTTTCTTATTGTGAATTACTGTCTAAATTATTAATGTAGATACTAACATTTTGAATTAAAATCAGATACCATATATTTGTGTATATAGTGTGCAGTTGATTACTCTAAAGAACTGTGTGCTTATATGTCACAATATCTCGTTGCTTATGTTCAGATGTAATAACATCAATGCAACATGACAAGTTCCGTTAAGATAGCTCTGCTTTTAAAAGGGAATGGCAAAGTTACCTTAAGAAATGAAGTCTGTATTTGAATCAGATTGATGAAACAGTTTTTCAGTTTATCTGGAATCATTGCTGAAATCCTCATGACAGTTAAAATATTTCCAATGTATATTCTAAGAAATATCTTATATATATTTAATAGTGTTAGTATCTACAATAAAAATTGAAGCTGTGTGCACTTACTACTCATTGCCATTCTTTCTATCTGTTCTATAACTAATGTGATACATCTATAGTTTTATTGTAGTTGGTTATTACTGCTTGTATTGTGTATTACTATAAGGCAGCTTATTATTGACTTTTTTATGTGTAGTAGCGGACTAAGAAACTTCAAGACAAAATTTTGATAGATTGTTAAGACTATTTCAACTCATGAAAGGAAAGTACATAAGAACTCATGAGGTCACTAACAGATACAGTCAAGTAACCTAATCTCGTGCTAACCTATTTTTCGTGCATTTCCGGAAATGATTAATAATTTACATGTGCGACCTCGCCTGACCTCCTCATTTGCTTGTTTTGATAAACATGGGTTTTCTGTACAATATCAGAGTAGAATGAATTCAATAGTTTCAAGCAAGGTAAACTGTATTAATGTATACTTTGACAAATACAAAATGGCTGATTTCAGTTTTTACCAAACGTCACCATTTTTTATCAGCCGAATTTCCTTATAATCCCAAGCGGTAATCGGAATTCCAAGTGTCGTCTGCTAGAATATATTCCAACGAATGAAGTCACGTGATCAACGTATTCTGTGTCAGCAGAAAATTTCTATGGAACACAAAGTGAACCATATTCTTATGTTGTTTCAGTGACTTTTAGCAATAAATCACGCTACGTATCATACTTTTTTTTTTAAATCGTGGTTTTTTGAAGCAATTGTCACTAGTTATAATAATTGATATTAAAGATAAATACTACCCGGTATCCATACACCGTGTTTTTCTAGACTGTTAATTTGTGTGACTCACTCAGTTGTGTAATCATCTTAGAGTTCTTGAAAGTAGCATAATTGTTGAATCAAATGATAACTACCTCTAGTCTTCAAACATTGTTATTTTGTGTAAAGTATTTCTCCATATTATGACCTATACCAAAGATATTATTTTGTTTGAACTATGGTGTTCATCTGTTATGTATTTGTGTTCAGCTCTCAATGTATGCAATGTGTTTGTTTGGTAGATTGTATTTCACACTAGTTGTTTTGGCACAAATCTAAATCTATGCACATTTGAAATTTCTATCTGGCTTTTGTTCCTTTTCTGCTTGATGGTATGTTAACTGTTATCACTTGCACAATATTGACTACATATAAATACATATATGTATAGTTGTTGTCTCAAATTACTAAGTTTCAGTTTGTTTTACTGACATTTAATTACATGTATGTGATATGAATTGTTTACATGCAAGAGTATGATGTTCCAAATCCTTACAAGGGCATCAAGTTGTTATGTTTGAAAGGATAAGAACTTTATGGTCAATGCATCATTGTAGATATCACAAGAAATTCTTTGGTGTTTTATGAAGAGCATTTCCATCTTATTCATGTCATTGTAGATTGTACATTTCCAAGACTGCATTTACTTTTTTTGAATAACTTAGCTTATAGACTGTTAAAATTGGGTCATTTATAGTGTTATCTGTAGTTACCTTATTGATCATTCCTATTTTTTAAAACTATTTGTTTCAGATAATTGTATTTAATTGTAAAACAAAAGCCAGATAGATTTCTGTTGGCTTCTACCAAACAATGTTTAAAATTCATTCTTTTTTTTCTGCTTCTTTTCTATGTAGATGACACCATGTAACCATGTTCATGTGGCGTCCGATGTCTCCTCTTCTATGTTTGCCTGTCAATTGTTGCTATTGTTAGTGTTCTGCCTACGTTACTACAGCTTACAGTCCTAGTTACTCAACATGGAAGACTTACTACTACCAGTTATTTTGGGGTATCTATGTGGGAGAAAGGTGAAGGGGTTATTTAGTTAAATTGTCAAAATGTTGTCATATATTATGATTGTATATGTGTAAATATTAGTTGAGTTTATAAATTCTATAAGATGACTTCATGTATTGTCACTTTATTTTATTTTTGTATTGATCTGGATACACCAACACAAACTTCATTGATTTTTATGTGTATTTGTATGGTTCAGAGTTTTTACCTTTGATTAACACTCTGTTTAGCTCTTAAAATATTTACATACTTATAGCATAACTTTCTTAGTTCTGTGTTTATGTATCCTAGTGAATATAAAATGTCTGTATTACTTTTGTCTATTTGTATTAATCTGAATATGTATTACTTACTTAATTATAAAGCTCAATTTATACTAGTATATATATATATATATATATATATATATTCTGTCAGTATTTTATTTTATAGTATTATATTGGCTCTTATTATTGTGTCTGAAATTCTCCACAGTGTCTCTCCCAGTTAAACAATTAGTAAAACAATATCCAAACAAATTTTCTCTGTAATTTGGCACTGAATATACACAGAATGTATGTCACAAAGCAAATATGCTTGGCTTTACAACATTGCAAATCCTGTAATAAATGTTGAATTTCTGAAACAATCTCTTGCTTCAAGCTTCTAAAATATGAGTTTATTTTATGAAAAGAATTTCTTGTGATGTAAGAATACATATTCAGATATTTATGTTGAGTTCTACTGAAATTTCCCTTTATTGTGTTGAAAAACAGGGTCGTAAATTAAATTGTTTTTAGAAATTCAAGTTAAATAACTTACTCTAGAGAGTTGTATTTATTTTTGGAATCCTCTAGTATTTTAATGCCAAAGTATGTGTTTTAGAAATTCTTTTGATTGTCATCCCATTCACATTCTTTTTTTATTTTATAGTCACTGACCCAGTGTAGTCAGAGTTTTAAGAGAAATAAGGTTTGTCTCAATATGTATGTTTGTATATAAATTAAAGTTATTATTGTAATAGCTGGATATAAAAGGGATATAATTAATTGATTTATTTATTAATTATTATTAAGATTTTATTATGTATTATGGTTATAATTAATCAGGGTTATAAAGATTATTATATCTTATTCCTTTAATCAAATTTTATTCCACATAGGTACCCCATTATTTTAAAATTGATTTTAGTTGTTCATGTTAATCCAGTTTGATATTTTAATGAATTTTGTCTTAAAATCATAACACACACAGTGGATGTTTTTGTAAGATATGAAATAGAAATCATGTCATGCCTTACATTTAATTTTACTGTAGATATATTATAACAAGTGTTCTAGTTGTTTTTGTTGTTTTGACGAATTTAACAAAGTCATACCTAATGTTTGCTGTGTTTTCAATGCCAATTTGTTGTTCTATTTTAATGGTGTTTCAAAATAAAAAAGTGTGATAGGAAATTACAGTACTTCACAGTTCAATGTTGTAATGTTTAAACCTTTTATTCTTGAAGAGAAGTTTGTTGTTATAAAGAGTGAAACTGCGTGAATTAGTATTGGACAATTACTTTAGGTGTGTTGTGTTGACAATTTTTCCATTGTGATGTTCAGTTTAAAGGATATAGCTATTGTTTAAATAAATATTGGAGAAATTTGTGTTATTATTATAGACCTGGATTATTATAATATCAATGGTGTGATACTTGACAAAGTTGATATTTCTTAATACAGTTCTGTAATAATTACCAAACCGATCCTTTGCTCTCAGGATTTTTCATGTAAGTTGTGAATGTTGTTCAGCACAGTTTCATTTTGACAGCTTTTAAAGCAAATTTTGATTGTATAGTGCCGCCTTGCCTGTATTATTAATATTTATTATTATTATTATTATATTCTAAATGATGTTATGTAATGTTTAAACAGTATTTCTCTATCACTAGTGTTGACAATAATAATATAGACTCAGGTCTGCTGTAATCATCAGAAATTATTTATATATTGGCTTAATAATTTAAAATTTTGTCACTAAGAAATAGTCATGGTTTCAAAAAAAATAATAATTAACCTTATTATTAAAAGAAATTTATATCAAAATATGTAAATAACAAAAACCCACTAATTAATTACACGTAGTTCATACTTCACTGTTTTTTTTTAAATCTGCATTTATTTTGATTTATTGATCAGCATTAGATGCCACATATCACAGGCATTTTAAATATTCTTTCACCATTTTATTACAATTCTCAGTATATTGTAGTTGATTGTTCGTCATGTTAGTATTCTAGACAGCTAAAAGGTGTTCATATATGTTCTAAAATTATCAAACAAAAATCAAATCAAAAATATATTTTCACTTGATATGTGTTCAATTTGATAGCATTTGTGAGTTTATCAACATGAATCAATTCTAAGTCATAGAAATAATGTCAAAAATTTGTTTGTAATGAATTGTTAACTTAAATTCAATTGTCTCAAAAGATTTTGTTAAATTTTATTTTTATATATTTTATTGAATAGAATAAAATGTTTTTAAAAGAATCAAATAAGAAAAGTAATTTTGGTATGATTTATTGATTAGTGAATATTTTGATTAACTTCTGTGTTCTAATATAAATTTTGTTCCCAATAATATCATAAATGAATTTCTTGGCATTAAAATTGACATTATATAATATGAGTTTATTTTGACGTTATTTTGTAATTATTTGTTTTTTGTCAGCTATTAAGCTGTAAAGAGTTGTGATTTAAAAAGAAAAAGGTTGTTAAAGTTAATTCTAATCCGTCCATGTTATTGGAATTTTCAAGCCCTAAATGTTTCTTCACATTAATTTTCATCCTATTTTAATGCCACTAAATTCAATTTTATTCTTGATGTATTATTTTAATTGAACTTCTTGCCCATTTCATGAAAGTAAGAAATTAGTGAAAGATATTTGACATTGGAAATATATCTAGTCACAAAATCTAAGTATTGGCCAGCATTGTATTGATTATCAGTGATTGAGTAATAAGTTTTAATGCAGCCTGTAGACATTATTTTAACCTTTTATCCATCTTAATTTAGATGTAAGATATATATTATATTACATCATTTGAGTTATCTTGTGTTCGCATTGTGTTGTGGTTTGGCAAGGTACAACTACATTAATTGTATTAAAATTTATTGAGAATCATGTGAGTCGTTTTATTCTGTAGGTGATGCACCCTTATCCCACTAAAGCATAGCTCTGATGTCTATTGTCATATTGGCACAATCTATAGAGATACCAGCAACTACTCTGCAAATGAAATCCCATCCTGTTTGGTCGAGGACCGACTCCTTATTACCTTTAGGTGAAAGTAAAATAAACTGGCTATTGATTCCTTCTAGGACAACTTGATCAGTTTCTGTTGAATTCAACTACCCACAAGCAACCAATTCCGTCGATAACACGATCTTCAATTTCCCTATGAAGCAAATTGTGACAGGTTTCACAAATTCTTACCAATGTAAGCACGATACCCAGTTTTATTCTAATCAAAAGATGCCGTATCGCTAACTTCGAAGTCGTCAGAGACCTAATCAATCCACATAAGGTTCATCTACTTTTATCCAATATAAACTCAAGCTTTCAAAGTGCTAACAGAGACTGTTGACAGATGGACATGGGGCGACGGAAATATCCGTATCTGTGAACATGTAAAATGAAATATGAGTGCTAGTGAGGATATATTTTCTACAGTTATTCATCTTCGATAAGTTCATAATATAACCCACGTAAAACACATGTAAGTCACCGAATTTTGTGAAGGATTGCTCAAGGCAGTCCTATGTTATATTATTGGACGAATTTGATGAACGTTACCTTAGTAAAAAAATACCTACAGAAACACTAAGCTTTAGTCACTATTTTCAGGTAGAGCAACTTGCATTTGAAAATTTGTTTGCGTCCAGTTGAAATCGATAGTTGGGATGCCGACTCTCAGCAAACGGTATCGCCTTTAGCAATTGGACATCAAAAGGTGTACACACACTGGGAATTTGTAACATAATTTATTCAAACGTTAAAATATATATATATATATAAACAAACAATAAGGGCACCCGACAAATCAAAATGTAATAATTGTGACCAACTTTCCATATGGTTTGGTATTAATCAAATGAGGACGCTTTTAACATCTTGTGAATAATTACACTGACTTACATTCATCCAACTGTAACAAAAAACTTTTTAGAACATAGTTTGTAGGTAAGTCAATTTCATTGACCCAATTGCTATATTATGTAGGCCTACTTGGTCAAAGAAAGTCTGGTCATTTAAATACCACACAATTGTTTGTTTAAAGTTAATATTCAAAAGAAGGCACTGGTGCTGGGTTAAATTTGACAAACTCAAATCTGTCGAGCAACAGTTGGAATATCCCATTTGTATCTCTGAAAAAATGATAAAAGGATAGTTTGTCAGACAAGGTAACATACGCCTTCAGTAGAAGTTAAGAACGTAAAGATGGATAGAACTTTGACTCTATCATCCATAATAAATTGCTACTAGTGCTTTTTACAAATGCTAGTATACAAAAACCATTCCAATATAGTAATATCAATAATACAGCAATAACGTTTATCTGCATAGATATATATGTAACGGTTATATCGGTAATAAATTTAATAATAAATTGTTTTGAAGTTTGATCCTTTTTCCAGGGTTTTTGGAGAAAAGAGTCAAGCGACCCCATTTACCCCATTGTTCAGACGCCCCTGAAAATTTTATCATGATATCGCAATTGATTATGTAAGTGTAAACATTTGCATGAAAAAAAACCATCATCATCTTGGTATAGATTTAAACAGGTTGGCTCCTGGTGTGATTTATAACATACTATAAACTATTGTTAAAGAACATCGATATGTAGCTGTTAAAAACTCTTGTAGTGTTGACAGTTTGATTCACTCTTACATTCTAGACTTTTTTTATAGAGAGATCATAAGACGCAAATCAAGCAATGTGTTTTTAACATCATTGTGAATGTAAAAAGTTTCAATGAAAATAACAATAACAAATCTATCCAGAAAATATCGCCACCATTTTCATCATGTTCATCATACTTCCTCGAGGCCGTGGTAATATAAGTGAGGAAAATTACTTATTTATAAATAAATATAGTCCAATCAAAATTGACCCTGGAATCTTTGTAGGAAATTTCAGCCAATAAAATTAAACCACTGGTTATGACGCAACGAAGGTAAACAAAACGAAAGCAGTGTACCATTAAATGTTTTGATTAATATGAACGATACAGAATTAAGTAAGATCTTCAGTACAGAATTGAAGCTGATAGAAAAATCAAACCTTTGGAATATGTACTGATTGGTCAGATTACTACGAACACAAGACAAGTGTATTATAGTGGGCTTAGTATAATACGGGTTAATAAGACCTTGTCAAAACCCGTATTCGGGATACGATGCACCACTTTGTACTTCTGTGTCTAACTGTGTGTGCAATTCGAGTTCCTATTTTTCGTTGCGTTGTTTACTCATACATTTATTTCAGGGCATCTATAGAAAATTACTCTCAGAATAGCTTTGCTATCTGATCAAAAACGAAATTTGTTCATGTTGACAATTATATATCTCTGAAACTCTAGATAAAACACACGAAAACAGATTGGTTTAACTTTTAGTTAGATACTATAAAAGTTTTTTTATACATGCATAGTGAAAGTATCAAAATTCGTTTCGCCTGTAAACTCTTCAATAAATATCCTTATTGACTATGTATTTCATGTTGCTATATCGATAGAACACAACGCATATCTTTAGAAATCCCTTGGACACCGGTGGGTTCGTTTTGCCGCATTGCCCAACTTGCCGCATCGTGCCCAACTGCACAAAAACGATTGTAAAATGAAAGTAAAGGTTTCTGATAAAATTCGGAATGGCCATTTGTTTCATATGAAACGAAATATTTTAATCTATTGTCTCGCATCGATTTTCTTTTTATTGATAATTTGGACCAGGTGGGAAAGTCGAAACTAGTTTTATGGTCAAATCTGGAAGAAAATAAATACCAAGTAGGCTACCAACTACAGAACCGTAATACACAATAAATAAAATTGGTTATAACTTGCAAGAGTTATGTCCCTCTACTGCGTGCCTATAACGTCACACACGTGCTAGACAAAATGGCAACTGAAAGTGAAAATCTTCTCAACAGTAAAACAGAATTGTCAAGCGAGGAGAAATTTAAACTTCTCGTTTTAGATGTGCCCTATAATTCGGCAGTGGCCCAACCCCCACTGGTTCATAAGGGCATTTTATTTTTCGAATCCATACAATTATCGTTACTATAAAGCCAAACCTTTTTCTGATAAGTTTGTTGATGCCCTAGACCAACCTGTAAAGTGTTAGTCGACAAACTCGACGTAAAATGTTTTGAGTCATATGATTATATACAGACAATTCTACTTTAAATGTGATAAATAATTGACAAAGCTACAAACCTGTTAAGCATAAATCTTTAATTTTGCAATATTTCATTTGTAGATTCCACCATATCTGAAAAATAGTTGTTCTTTAATATAAAATATGTAAGGATTACGTGCGAGTAAAGATTTTGAAAGTCCAAATATAATAGTTCTGAGCACTAAGGCGAATCTATTTTTCAAGATATTACGCCAAAATATCCATTTCGGAAAACCAAATGATCGTACTACATTCATCTGTTGACTTAGCTGATATCATTATAATATAACAGAATCCATCTGAAATCCTCCGAACTTGTATTAAACGACATTATACTTATAAGGAAAACAAACTTTATGGACATACAATTACTACATTTTTTGACTGCGACGTTTCAATGAGTGTTCTCTCATCGTTATCAAGCAAATAATACAATCTTAAACATTAGGCATATATACAGGGAGAGCTAGTAACAACAACTCAAGACAACTAATAATTATAATAATGATTACAGGATGAAGCCATATAGGTGTTCTCTGTTCTCTGTGGATTATAGTTTCTTACTGATTTATAGTCTGATATCATGTTATTTTATTCCCTAAATGATATTAATATATACACTTGGTATGAAATAACCCCAATCCCTATTCAATTCTGGTTTTATTCTTTTTTTATATATATTGCTTCAAGTAATTTTCATTATACTTACAGTGATTCTGTGATTAAATGAGAATATAAATTTCAATTCTAAGAATTAACGGGTGGGGGAGCGTGGTTGGGTGCTATTAATTAGTGAAGTCGTGCTTAAGGTTATGTACGATTTTAAGATAGGATGATCATTCCTAAAATAACGTCTTACCGATACTGGAGTCGATTCCCCATGTTGATAATTTATGAATATTAGCCAGGAATATATCAGATGTCGTCTGTTTTTCCATTCTTTCTAATTTCTGATCAATTATTTCTCGATTAAACCTCATTTTCCACATTTCTGTCTCCAGGTGATTCAAATTACCATGAACATGTTGAATAATGTCGAGTGCTTGGCTGTAATTTTGTATCTCGGTCAATTCTTTATCCCTAGTCTTTATATCTCCAATAGATTTGAAATTTCCTAATTTGGAATTAACCTCGAGTGAAATGTTAGCAAACTTCTCAGAGAGATTATGCATCAGTTGTTTCTTCACTTGTAGATATTCAGTAGAATTACATGACACCGAGTGTATTATTGACAATTCTTCCCTTTCTTCAGATATTTCTTTCAACTCTTGCTGTAACTTTCGTATTTCAGACCACATATCAATTCTCAATTTCCTGATATCATCTTCAATATCACCAACACTACATTGTATATGCAAACTGCATAATGTCAAAATCAGAAATAACCTCCCACAAGCCATTTTAAAAACACAAGTACTCAGGATGTCAAAGATGAAAATGTGCCTTTCTAATCTTATCTATTGTCATTCAATAGTCTGTCTTATAATCACTAGAACATATTATAATTACGGAATGAAGTAAATCAATTAACTTGAAATTCTATCCGTCTGACCTTAAACAAATTACTGTCAATATGATACTGATTTGTTTGTGTCACAGAAAAAAGATAAACGTCACCAAATTCGAAATATATGAATATATGAAGAAGGAAATGTAGACATGGGTATCAAATTTATTTTTCTGTTATCACTGTCATAATATTCTGAACATAATGCCACCCTCACACATTTTTGTCCGCGAAAATGGCACGCGAGGGGACACATTTTATAGTGCAAATGTCAGTGTCAAAGAATATAATATATAATTGCATAAGAAACAATAAACAAGTTTAAAATATTTAAGAATCATGAACCAGTTTCAGATCGAAATACTTTCAGCTTGAATAACGAACCCTGAATTAGTTTCAGTTGAAATGACGAACCATGAACTAGATTCGGCTTGAATAACGAATTATGAACTAGTTTTAGCTTGCATAAGAAATAATAAAATTGTTTTTGTATGAATAACGAATCACCTACTAATTATCAAACTAATCGTTGATTATATAAAAGTATAATTTTATGTCTCAAAACTGTTTGTAAAAACATTATATAATTTTACAGAAACTAAAGATTATTTTGAAAACGTGAAAATCCTAAAATAACTAGTTCATCGTTTGTGGTGGAAATTATCGATCCTTTTAAAATCATAGTTCTGAAACTGACATTAAAATATTTACTAACGAAATGTCTGTGAAAAGCTCTAACACAACTTTCATACCAATTTTATCCACTGTTACTGGAGAAACCATTTGGACAGTTTTATGTTTTATTTTAATACCTGTTTGTATATGTGGATTAATATTCAGTTGTTTTAATGTGATAGTCTACAGCAAACTACCTCTACGAACAACTACTTACGTTCTTCTTATAACAATTAGTATATCAGATTTTATCCATATTCTCGCTGGATCTATTAGAGTATGTATGTATGTATCTCAATCTATGAATTATTCCGAGTACATCAAGTTTAGTTATTATATTATCAAACCAGTCATTTTCATCATCGTAATATCGAAAAGATTTTCTGTGTGTCTTCATTGTGCTTTGATAGCCGAACGTTTTGTCTTTTTAGTGTGTTCCATATCGTCACCATTTGTGAAGTTTTTTAAACGAACAAAAACTATCATAGTTTTCTTCGCTGTTTTTGCTGTGGCTTCAAGATCGATTGCATGGGTTCGACGAACAATCAGCGACAATGACACAAACCGCACCTCAATCCATTCCGAGTCTCAAATATTTGGAAATAACACACATTACCTTGACATAGTAGAACTTGGGATTAATGTTATTTTTCTTGTGATTCCTTTTATAACAATATTGCTCTTTATTGTCGGTATTAGAATCAAAATGAAGAAATTTTTTTCTCCAGCCGGTAATGGTGTTACAATGAAAACAGTTCGATGCACTAATTTAACAAAACTCGTCTTAAAAACCAGTTTAGCCTTTTTAATTTTTACTATTCCGTCCACTCTTACATTTCTGTTTTCCAACATCTTCAAAGAATTTCAAATTTATGGAAGGGAAACGAATCTTTATAGATTATTTCAAAGAACAGGATTCTCTTGTGAAATAATTGGTAATGTTAATAATTTTATAATGTATGTGTATTTATGTATTCCATTTCGACGAACTTTTAAAACAGTTATTCTGAAACCTTTTATAAGAAACTTTATCGACGAAAGTAATGTCTCATAATATGGTTGAAGAAATTCAATGGACGGACGTTTTATTTGATAATGAAAGTTTTTGTATTATTGGACTTTTTGGAGCATTTGTGTATAATAGAATAATACATGTACTCCTATCATTGTACGAACTTTGTATATTATGTATACTAGAATACTATAATTATTGTTGATACCTGGTTGGTACCTTAACCTATGCTATAACTCAACTTGTTAAACTCTACATAACTTATACTGTGCTAATTCTACTCAAATTTCGGGTAATTCTGGTAGGCCCACTGACGATACTCAGTCGTGGAAGTTGTGGTTATAAACTGGGTATGATTAGTACTGTCGTGGCTGGAACGTAGCTAGATCGGGACCTTCAGGGCTCAGTTGTGATAGTATCGGATAGAACCGTGGTAAGAACGATAGAACCTAATTTTCTAAACCGAATTTTTACGATTCCATCCCACATCATGAAAATATTATAGAATCCGGGTTGTTGTAGTGATAGTAGGGTTATTGTATACATTAATTTCTATACCTTACTTTGTGCATAATAATTGTTTGTTTAAAATTGCGTGACCACTCCGTGAATTGCGATTACCATTTTTACATTGAGCGTCTGAGAGGGATCTCCCAAGTAAATTTTCGAAAACTTGAATTGATTAGGTGCATTCTGACACATACTTCTGGGCAAAAAAAGTATAAAATGCAAATGCGTTGACGAAGCCTTTGCTTACCGATTGTTAAGCAATCGGGTCCGATTGCCCTAAGTTTGCCAGGGTTCTTTGCTATAGAAAATATAGTTTAGTCAAGTTAATGTGTGTATAAAAGTGTTTTGCCTGATAACACAGCAGGTAAAGAGACCAATCAAAGATTTAAGTATTCTTTTATCTCAGATCAATTTGGTTTTTATTTGATTTAATATATCAAAAGTTATGTGGACCTCCAGCTGTTTATAATTCCAATCTAAGCAGGTTAATTATACCGTTTACCGTTTAATTTATCGTTTCAATTCAGTCCTTTAAGTTCTCGGGGTAAAAATGGGTGTCACTTCTGTTTATTTTAGGCTATAGGCCTACCAACTGAAAAGCAATTTTTACTCTTTTTTAATACATATCCGAGGCCCATATCGGCTTCAGCCAAGCAACAACCCAGACACAAAGATTAATGGACGGAATATTACTTACCATAAATGGTATATTATATTGGACCTGCCATTAAAAAAAACCTCTTGATACTAAACAAAACGTTACTCCGGTTTATCAAGTACGCTTTAAACGGTTGCTTTCTGTATATCATAAGACTTCATCTTTTACCTTATGTATTCGGTTTAAGTTATTTATCGATTTTGAATCGATGTTTTTGTTAGTTTCCAATTGATATATTTCCAATTCAATAGCTTTCCAGGGAGCAAAAGTAGGCTACCTTAATTCTCTGAAAGACAATCATACCCAAGTGTGGAAGAAGATTGCGACCAACAATTTTCGTCGAAGAAAGGGCGATAAGTTTTGGGTGAAATAGAAGGCGACAAAGCGGGAAATTTTTCCTTGCTTTCTCGCCTTTTTCTTTGCTTTCTTTTCTCTCTAACTTTCGCTTTTTCCTCGCTTCCTCAAGGACGAGATGTCGAGAGTAGTGATGTTCGCAGTTGGCTTCCATACCAGGAAGCTTTTTCAGACAAAGAAGACCAAAGTCAACAACCCCATGAGCTCATAATTTGGCTTTCTCATTCAGGTGCATCAATGCATAATTACTACCATAGCCAATAAGAGCCTCGAAAGGAAGACTGTATCGCTTACTTGTCGGGGTCTTTGACTTGTGTTTTCCGCTAGTGTACAATCCAAGAGTTTTTAGCAGTTGCTCATTCTATATGTCGGAACCTATAACGATTGCTAATAACTGGTAATATCTAGCTGCAAACTGGTAACGAACATTCTAGATGTCAACTGTTCGCTTGTGTCAACTGTCACGGATCAGATGAGATGCTTTTTCAAAATATTTGAAACGAATTAAAACTTTGATTAAGGAGAAATTATTCATATTTTCTTTCCCTTTCATCTTTTTAATCAGAAAGAATAATAAATGAAATAGCCAATGTTATTAAAAGCTATTCTGAAATGTGACGAGCATAGCTTTACTTTTATGAACGACAGCTTTTTAGAAGAAGAAAAAATTTGACATCTGATAGACACTTTGGATTCAAATTACTTAATTATCATTGGGTTAGTATTTTTAATCGGTTTGAGAAAGAAGTCATATTTTGTCATTAATTGAAAACATTAGAACAAAGAAATGTCACGTCGAAAAACTATGGATTTACCGAGAGAAAATAAAGATCATCTGTGATTCAAAGTTTTGTGTAAGGGTACAAAACTCTATATTGAGACGGACAAATTTTATATATAAACTTTTCATGTTTTTTAATGTGTTCAAAATATGTAATGTCATGTACTGTAATTTAATCAACAAATCTAATGAGGCGCATGTTGCACACCCTTTTTACGCCCACATGAAATTGGCGGGGGAGTGGGGGAGGGGCGTATAATGGTGTCTGTCTGTCGGTCAGTCTACGATTGCTCGTAAACGCTTTAGAACGAACAATTCTTGACTAATAATCGATTAAGATACCAATGTGGCGGTCCAAAAGAAAAACATGTTGAATGAAAAACGTTTCCAATTTATCTAATCATCGGGTTGATATGAAATTTAAATCTCTTTGGAGTTAAAAAAAAAATTAAAATATTAATTCATCAAATTGTTTTTATCGAGTCAAGGGACATAATTGTTCTTCTTATCATCGATTTACAGTAGAACGACTCAAGTAAAACATTTTATGCTAATGAATATTCGAATGTGTATAGAAATCCCTCTTGCATGCCTATCATTGACTAATTTTTGGTCTAGATTTTAATTTGATGTCTGATGCATTTTCTTCCAGATTGTTTGAGATTCTCATGCGGAAGGATGACTCTAAAAATATTCCTTGCAGTGACAGTTAAACGGGTGTTGATAAAATGTAGTGGTCTACTTTCAGTTTGGCTAGTTCAAGGTTTTCATTGTCATGATATAATTGTGGGACTTTGCTACGGCAAAGTTTGTTTGTTATCGAAATGTCAATTCTTTTTTTTTTTTTTTTTTTTTTTTTTCGATTTTTACACACCTTCCTGAGCTTAGACTACAATAGTTGCAGCAACCTTACAACGTTCACGAAGCTTAGATATAGGCGAAGATGTGCATAAATATATTTTGGATCTTTTTTGCAATACCGGAAGTGCCACAGTTCAATATGTGCAAGAATAGATAATCGGCTCTAGAAGTCGTATTTTTCGGTCGATTTTCTTTGGGTTTGCATTTTTGGAATCTACTGTTAAAATCTGAAAGAATAGCATTTTCAAAATTTCAAAATTCGAAAATTTGTCGCAGACATTTTTTTTGCCAAATTTTGCATTTTTTTCATTTTTTTTGCTTTTTGCCTGATTAATCTGAAAAAAATTGAGCAAAGACATTTTAAGAATGTAAACAAAACGGTACAGTCAAATTTTCAATTTCACTTCCGGTTTGTCAAAGGTCATTGACTTTAGCTATCAGTTAATAATTTGACATTTGACCTCCGACATGTACTTCCGGTTTTATAGCTGTCCGAAAACAGCCAAATTCGCAACTTTGGACTGCTCTAGCACGTGACCTAATTAACCTAGAGGATTAATTTTTTCGGATTCTTAATGTGCTTTTCATGCTCTTTCAAGTGATTTATAACAATCGTTTTTTAAAGCAAAATTGAAATTCGTGAATTTTTCAAATTTGAGTTTTTTTTTACAATATTTCTGTTTCTTTGAGCTTGGTGTGTATATATCTTATGACCTATTTTATGTAGAACATTGAAACTTGGAACACAACAAGACAATTTGAATATAAATTAACCTATGACAAAAAAGTTGAGGTGGGCGTAGCACATCCGGGTTGAATTACTAATTGTTTACATTTTGGGAAAGGGGCATAACTCGCATAGGATACATTTGTTCAAAAAAGGAACTTTGCACACAATTACCTCATTATTTTGGCCAGTTTATGTTAATAGGTCAATTATTTCAGCTTTATAGTTCCAAAAATGGAACGGGTTTTGAAATTTCCATATTTTCAATTTTCTATTTTGACCTTTATTGACTCTTGTTGACCTATATCTTTTGACCTGTATGATGTAGAAGCTTTAAATTTGGGACACAACATAACATTCAGAATATCAATTAACCTATGCAAAAGAAATTGAGGTGGGCGTAGCACATCCGGGTTAAATTACTCATTATTGACAATTTTGACAAGGGACTTAACTCGCAACGTATACATTTGTTCAAAATGGAACTTTGCATACAATTACTTCATCCGTTGAACCACGTTGTCTTAGAAGTTTGATTGTTTCAGCTTTATAGTTCAAAAAAAGGAACAGGTTTTGTCATTCACATTGGCTATCTATTTATACTTTTATATTTGCCGTCCTATCTCAACTTCCAGTTTTATAGCCGTATATAATTAAAAATTTTGATAACTTGTATCTTATAACCTAGACCTTTGTTGACCGACTCCCTTTCAATGTCAAATGTCATTGACCTTGGCTATCTCCTGATACTTTCATTTGTGAGGTCTGTCTACTTCCGTTATAACAATCTTCCAAAGAATTCTTCTCAACTTTAGACTGCTCTTGCGCGTGATGTAATTATCGTAGAAGGTTGATTTTTTCAGAGTCTTTTGCAATTTGCTACATTTGCAAAGTCCCACTCTGTGCCACGTGTGGCTCTAGTATTGATTTTTTTTCTAAGCATTGGTCAGCATTTCAAGTTTAAAGTTTTCAACGAGATTTCTGTTATAGAAGGTTGAATTTGTAGATTTAACAAGGAAACAGATGACAAATGAATTACCGGAGACGGTCCATATAGGACTCGAATGAGCTCCGTGGTATTTTTTAGTCATCCACTTCTCTTATCGTTTTTGTATGCATATTTTTGGTCTAAATTCGATTTTGATGTCTAAAATCGTCATTTCTTGAGCAAATGAAAAGGCAAATAGTAAGAAGCAAATCATAACTTACACTTTCCCCAGAGGTTAACTTCATTTCCTTCTTTTCTACTAGAGTAAGCTTCTTTCTGATGTATTAATCCTATATTTGTCATCCCGCGTTTAACTGTAAAGGCCATCGACAACAGATGAATATTTAGCATAAAAATAATATTTATCAAATGCGAAGCGTATTTGGCGTCATGCATGTCTCTCGACCTGTCATTCCACAATAATTGTCCGTAGATACTGTGGATGGCACAACGGATTTTCGAGAAACTCGGTGTCTTGCCGGTCAGTCAGCAGGGTTTCTCAGGTTAATTAGCTGAAGTTTATGTTTGGAATAGCTAGGGCGCCACAAAACTTAGAAGACGTTCTGTGGCGTCGTGGGGTATAGGGCCTCCTTCAAAAGGGGTTAGGGGTCGAGTTCATTGAACTAATTGATCTTACATTTATAGCATTAAACTACATTTATACAAAAATTACAACAAATATTAAAGCATCAATTTGCACCATTCCAATGTTCAATCAGAAGTCTATAGTTCCTGCAACTCAACAAAAATGTGTTTGACAAATCACTAATAGCGAAATATCGCTCTATCACACAAGTCCTTTCGTGATTAGTGACGTCAATAAACACTAGTTTTAATGGAATTGCAGGTATAAAAATTTGAATTGGGCAATTTGATGCTATCAGTGTCCCCGATACACATGATTTATTTGAAAGAAGCTCTCTTCAATCTCTTTGAGTACGCGATAAAGTTCACAGTTTAACGTTGTGTAGTCGACCACTCCTTCTACTAATGTCGATAGAGGGAATAATACTTATTTTAACTTCATTTGCATGTAACCCTTTTTGGGAAACTGACCGATTTTCAAATTCCTCCACCGTTCTCTTCCATTACTATCAATTGTAACTTTATCCTTTAGACTATGATATAAATATTTCCTAATTTGAAATAATGAAAAAAAAACGACTAAAATTGGAAAAAAATTATCCTTATCACTGGTGACATATATACCACGAACCAATATAGTGTTGATATAAATACAAATATGTCAATGATAAATGTATATTTATGACATCTATATTCAAATTTGTTCAAAAAACAATCATGTAATAATAACCGCTCTATTGGTCCACTTGTTATAAATCTGCCACCTGATATAATAATATTAATGATTATATAAAGTTGGATATTTGTTCAATATTAGTTATATTAGGAAACAATAGGTCAGGTTGATTGACTGCTAGTGTCGATCAGAAAACGATGAAAATGGCGTAATCAAGTAAAAGTGGTTTTAGTCAGTGATGGATGACAAGATCACTGTCATAAAAGATAAGCTGTCTTACAGATGAAAATGGCCATCACCAACCTAGGTCTATAGGCTGTATCTTTTTTCTGTCAAATAACATTATGTACCAATTTGATAGGTTATACGCCAACCGTGCATCATTTCGGACATCCCCTTTTCAGTATTTGATTCTTTTCTGCAACCAATTTCAACTGTTTCTGACAATAATTCTGTAGAGAATTCCCATATTTCTGTTGGTAATTTACTTCCATTGTGCTTACATTTATTTCTTACTATTCAAAATGTAATAATTTCTTTTCTTCGTTACAAGTTATGAAATATACCTCATTTGGTAGCAGCTATAGGTTTAAAGACGGTAATAATCAGGAATGAAAAACGTTTCTAATTCTCTTAGACAATCAGTATTGATAAGATAATTTTTGCGATTTTTCTCAGAAACATGAATTGCTAAATCGCTTTTACATGTTTCCCAGAATTGGTAATGTTAATTTTTTTGTTTTTATGATTAAAAAGAATTGTGAAATATTTTCGGTCAGAACCAGTCTTCAATTTACCTGCTAGTCACTTCTCTTAAGTGTACTTTATCGCAGCTAATCTTCATTAAGAGGATTAGAGGATGATAACTATGTTTTTATTTTTCCTCATTATTCTTCTTAATAAAGTTCAACATTAAAACAATGGCTACATTGGGCAGGTCGAACATTTCAATTTGGTCTGTACCATACATCAAGTTGACTGCCCGAAATTCATCGGAGCATGATGTTGAAACAGACTATAACGAAACAGCTTTAAACGACAGAGACACGATTGTGTCAAGGAGACCTTCCAAAAGACGTGGGACAATACCAACGTTCGAAGACAATATCTCTATTAGTTTTAGTTACATTAGAAGAGGAAAGATGTCTAAATCTGGTTTGAGACACGAACCTTTAATTGAGGAAGATAGAGATTATGATAAAGATGTTTCACCATGTATTGGAATATCTATTGGTGTATGTGCTGCTATTGCTGGACTAGGAGGTTAGTTCTAGTAGGATTTTTAGACAATTTGTGATAAAGTTGGCATGAGGGTTAATAAGTATTTGATGGTTAATGAGAGGTCTATGTAAAGCTACTTGTAAAACTATTTGCAACAGACTAAAGCATATTTTGTGCGAGGGGGTAGTTTTTACCATGATTTAGATAAAGTATTCCTTTGGAGATCTCTTTCAAGTCTTCCGGCTCATCTGACAAGACAATAGTCATATGCTAACTAAAATTATATTTGTCTAACGTTGCCGAGAAATATTTTGGTCTGTAAGAAACAACATGCGGTGGTAACTAAGGCAAACAATCACAAGAGAATAGCAAGTCGTTTTCATTTTATATCTCTAGTGCAATGAAAATATATCACTTTATTTCTGAACCACCAAGAGTTGTTCCACTTTCCATGAAATATGTAAGTAATAACTCTGTGTCATCGTCATTTAAAAAATGAAACAAATTCCAATAGTTGACGGTTTCTTCCGATACCTGTCTCACAACTTTATTTCTGTATTCGAGACTGAAATCGGACATTTTTAACTCTGATAGAATGATTATAAATATTAAGTTATAAAATTCCGCTCTACAGTGGAAAAAATACTTCCTGAAATAGTCCGAATTATGTAGGTAATAGACTTGAACTTGAGAGCCGTTTTTTTTGTTCTTTCCTTGTGAGATTAAAGAATTACTGACACATGTATTTGATTATGTTAAAATTATGATATTGTGGCAAAATGTCTCAAACTGACAGAAAACCAGATCATAGTTATAAATACAAGAGCGTTATTCCACTTACTTCCTATGAAACAAAATGAAATAACTGTATTCGGTCTGAAAAGCAATATGGCACAATAGACTGGAAATGTCAATTGAATGAAATGTTGAAAATATTGCAATAAGTATGTTTAACCAAAAGGTTATCATAAAAAACAACATGTTTTCATATGATATTGGCACGTATCAATGTTCCCAGGACTGAACACATGAACACTATTTGCAACTGTAGCCAAATTATGATCAAATTTATAAACTTAATCAATAAACTTTCCTATCTCAAGAACAGAAAACAATATTTCGTTTAGTTTTTTTTACAATTGTAATGCATGCAGTAAAGCATAAAGCTATTTCTCCTGAGATTTCTTTTCATACACTAAAAACATTGGTAAGGGTTTGGTCAAAATGGGTCATAATATAACAGACAGTTATATTTTAAGTAGGTAAAGATATCAGTTATGATGTAAATCATGGCCAACTAGAATGATTTATAAGACTATTCTAGTATGTTTTATATTATGTATTTACATACATGTACGACTATTTATGACTTTTTTACCATAAGTAGCAAACTTGTTCGTGAGAAGACAAAACCGATTAAATTGAAAAAGTAAATTCACAGCTGCAAGAGGTTAAAACTACATAACATGCTTGTCATTTTTCATTTCGTAATGTTTTGGAAGTAAAATGCATTAAAAAGTGTATGACTCAGAAGCTATAAAAGAAATAACCATTGGGAGTGGCAGAAAAGTAACGAAATTAGCAAAAATCCAAATTTGTCTGTTCATCATGTGAGCGCCTGGTCACGTCAATTAGACAGATACATAGGGCGAGGAAGAATGATTCAACAGTTATAATTCTTATTTAAAAAGGGAATAAAGCAAGTGTTTGACAGTCAAGTTGTGATCTTCAACTTGACTGTGTCAAAGAAGGAGTAAGAAAGAAACCAAAATGTACGAAATTATTGATTTCTAATAATAAATGTTCACATTCAAATATAAAATATTTAAAGAAGGAAAAGTAATTTTCAAGGACAAAACACTTAAAAACTGTTGGACTAAATTATGTTTCAATGTCACTGTAAAAAATTCTACTTGATGGTTTAACGGTTTATTTTGTTTGAAGTACCTTTTAAAACTTTATGGATGATATAAAACATCATAATCCTACCCTTCATTTAACCTTAGATGTCAAAAAATGTCTTCAAATCTACTGAAATAGTACTAGTTTGAATGGAAGGTGACCCCACTAATATTCTTGCCTGTAGCTAACATTAGTGTTGAACAACCATATTTCATTGTTTTAGTAATATTACATAAATTCTAACACTTGTAGCCCGTAGGTAGACAGTCCGTTACATTGTTTATTTTATCTATATCACACAACACATTGATGTTATGTAACATTCATATCTGTATATTAATCTTACATACGTTAACACTTTTAATGATCCCTTTATATACATTTAAAATTGACTGATAATGAATATTTTACAAAAGAATTTAATGAAAGAATTGTTAGTGGTGCTATATCGCATCAGCAGTGGGAAAGAATGGAAATACCATAGCAATTACTTGAACCCATGGCTTATGTTTCTGTAAGCAGATTTGGTTCTCTTTTGAGACATGATGCGATCACACTTTAAACATATTATCGATTGAATTAATGCCATACTGTACTATTAACAGACATTTTAGCTTCCAGCAAACACACCTTGGCTACCTTAACTTCTTATAAAGAAGTGAATCTTTAAATTATCTAACAAAATGCTTACTGATGTTGTATCTTACAGGTATTGGTGCCATTGTCATATTGAAGGCTTTAGAGCTCTATAGAACCGATATCAGTTATTTATACATGTCATGTTATCCGGTAATTATCTTTCTTTCAACAAGTTCAAAGGAACATTTTTAAGAAAATTCAACCCTGTCTCTCTCCTAAAACAAGAGATTCCAACTATCTTTGGCAAATTGGACCAAAAATATTGATAATTTTAAAACACCATTTTCAAGAGTTGATAAATGCCTACGTTTGCAATTTTGATATGATGAGATTTGTAGAATCATCAGAAATGTCGGTAGAAAAAATTGATTATAATGCGGCTGCCACTTTCCAGCGAGAATATCCCGATCTTATTGCACATCTTACAAAGATTGAATTTTTTTTCAGTTTGTCTTCCCTGTCATTACTGGTGTTGCCATGGCTTATAAAAGGAAAATGGGATCGGTGAGTTTTACGTCCTACATCTAAGACGAGCAACGTCATGCAGTATGTAATAAGGGAAAGCTGTGTAGGCCAGTGGCTCAGGTATCCTCACAGTCTCTAGCACACAGAGTTTCGGTCCACCCAGCCCCCCACCCCCCCTCCCCGGACCGTATTATCTCGACCTATGACGGAACTGAACGCTGAAGAGAGAGAAGCTCCAATATTGCTTTGAAGGACTATTTGTTTGGGAAATGGTTCTGACAATGTGCAATTTTCCACCAAACCATGAAATCGTGCTCTTAGAAAGGTAGTCTTGAAAATGCACAAAAACATTTTATTGGTAAACGGATTAATAGATTGATCTATATGTATGCTTATGATTACCAACGACTTAACTTATTAAGTTATTCTAAGCTAAGATCTGTTGATATCTTGTAGCTGACTTTACATTTTGGTGTATTGATATTTGGTATGATTGGAGGATCTGTATTCTATGCTTTTTCCATCTTCCCCGTTTATATGGACAAAGATAAGTGCACGTAAGTAGATGTTTTAGTATTCTTGAATGCCACTCGGTTGACGATTTCGGTTATTATTATTTTTTGTATTCTTTGCACTGTGAACAGACACAGTACACGTAAACTATATTGTTAACACATTAAGGACATAATTATTCTCTTTTCATCTGTCAGTTGATATAATGAAGTTTGATGGATTTTGTAGATTTTGTATGGAAGCAGTCTAATAAAAAATAATCTTGAAAGATCTTTAAAACAAATGCCACTAATCATCTAAGCATTAGTCATAAGAGAAATGTGTATTTTTGCATCCTGATTGATATTCTGATCTACATCTTATTTCATGTTCGCTTCATTGACTGACTGAACTCCGCGTAACCTGGTAAATCACCTTCGTTAAAAGAGAATAGAAATACAATATTTACACTTTGGTGACAATGCTTCTGTTCCTTGCATAGACGAAATTGTTTGATAAATATACAAATAGTTGTTGGCAGCCAAAAATTTAAACATCTGATTCTTTATCATTACAGTGATGTCCTTATGGAAGGTGACTGTCAAAAGACTGCTCTTGTTTATTTGTATGTTGCTTTTGGTGGAGTTGGAGTTGTTTTCTCTTTATTCGGATTTTTATGTACTTTATGCGCCTGTTGTAAAGCATCGGTAAGTCTCGTAATAAAGATTTAAAAAGGCATTAATTTGATTATGTTGTCAATCAATAACTTCAAATACCTGGTAAATATTAAGATATTATAAAGAATAAAACGACTTGTCTCAAATTGGTGACGATGTGAGGTAGGCGTCTAATTAGTGTTCAGAATTAACCATCATTATTCTTTAACAGAAAACAATTGCTAGCCGAATAGAACACGAAGAAACCAGACAACAAATGAAACAACAGTCAGAATTGGAAGCTAAGAAACAAATGAAAGCAGCTGGTATGAAATCCAACTACACACCAACCACAAACAATGGTACAGCCAAACAAAATGGTGGATATGAAAATTTGGCTGCTAATTTAGATGATAAATTAATGACAAAATTGTAAAGAAGAGCTTGTTTTATTTTCTACTGAACATGTTTTTGTGTGAATGAGTTATTATTTGAATAATTGTTTTGTATGGCGACTGTAATTATGTTAATGTATTTATTTATGTTATTTTTTAATGTTCGTTTGTTGAGAATTTGAATGAAAAAGGATACGCTTTACGACATTTATAAAGGGACCCAATAACTTACATATTATGGAAATTTATTATGTCGGTGTGTGTTTTATGATTGTGTTGTATTTTGTTGTGTTGTAAATTTGATATATTCATATGCTATGTATCTGTCATTGTTATAATATAGACACTTTTATTTAGGTTACTATTAAACAATTAGATAAATTGTATTCATTTAATATGTAGTGGAAGCATTGGCGAATATATTATGTAAAAGTATGTTGTATATCGTTTTGTTCTGTTGCAGTACATGTTTTGCTGTTTTTGATTTTATGCTGCGATGCGATCAATGGAATGGACTGAGTACATCAGTTGTAATGTTGGAATGAGATAAGAAAATGTCATGCAGATCTAAATGTATTTTGTTACCGATAAAAATTAATTTGAATGTGCGTGAATGGGGAATAAATGTGATACAAAAAAATAACTTTTATATACTTAAATTAAATATAATCTTCAAAATCCAAATCATTTTTTAAACACCACAATTTATAACAATTTGAATATTATCTCTGAATCCCCACCACTTTGGTTTATATATTTATGATAAAGAAAGAATACAAATAATCAAGCGAGATAATGGTTCACATTTCGTGTAAAAGTGCTACAGTTTTTATTTCCCTTGACTTAGTAAAAAAAGCGGCTACAGTTTTCAGCGAGGTCACCAAGACGATCATCCCCGCAACCCACCCTAGTGTGTTGGCTCTGCGGTGAGATGCCTCCAACGCGGAAGTGGATAAAGATAGCTTTCAGGAATTGTTTTAGTCCCTCCCCCCAAACAAAAACAACTCCGGGTTTATTGAAACGTTATGTACTTATTGTACCTATTCACTTTACTGACCATTTAAGATTTCACACCATCACAGGATATCTTTAAATTCTGACAAAATCTTTACAACAAGTTTGCTATATTGTTGTAGATATGAGATATTATTATGCAAGTTTGGTATTATTTAGGCAAGAATGATTTCAATGGTATTTTTTTCTCACAGGTCATTGGCTGGACTTTCATTATGAAATATATAAAACAGATATGAACCAAGTAACTGAAAACAACTTGTCAAATTCCTAAAACTATTACTATTGTAACAGTATTATGTTAAGGATGCTTTACCATGAAACCACTGTTCCGGAATGTGGTCATGAGGGGGTAATTTTACATTGTTTTGGTCTATTAATAAAAAAAATGAAACTTCAAGAATTGCATTATTGACGATGTAGATTATTGGAGACATCACATCGTAGTAGAATCATGTTAATGCACTGGGTCACCAAAGCAATTATTCTGTTCTATTCTGTCCATGTCAAAGATGCCTACCAAAGAAACAGGGTAGCTACATCAACCCTGTTCATGACCAAGATTGATTTACATAGTTCCAGTTATTATCAACACCGTAAACTGAGACGTTTTACTGTATTTCCACGAAATTGACATTTTCATGACAAGCGATTGTAGTTGATTTTAGCGACGCAAAAGTATTTTCCATAATTTATAACAAATTTTGTGTATTATTTTTCTTTTTTTTTGTTCTCAAGCTGAATTATGCTAATCTCTAAATTAACACAACCTAATATTCACGAAGCAAATAAAAAAGTCCTTGCACATTAAAATCTTAATGGCTACAAGAGTAATATTATTAGCTGCAAGAATGTGGTCAAAGGGGGACAATTTAATATTGATGTAGTCTGTAGTCAAACCTAAAGTATTGATAGATATAAACATAAAAACAATGCTTGTTATGGAAATTAAATTTATTTATTCAGAGATACTTTTGCTCAATGTTGGTTAACAGGAATATATCCGTGTACTATAGGTCCATTCCCTTTAATATACGTAATCTGCCCTTCTCTGTATTTATATTTTATTTTACCACACCAAGCATTACTATTACTCTTCCCATTACTCTGCATTGAATCCAACTGAAAGTACAAACATGCAACATAGTCTTTTGCTTTCAGTTACGCCAACATTCTTATCTCTGATACCAAATTTTCTTTTGACAATTCATATCTTTGCTGTGGTTAAAAAAGTGTACAACTGTTTTGATTATGTTATAGAAAATTATGGACATTAATGTTACCCGATACAGTTTCCAAGTTTTTCAAAATCTGACCGCCCATGTACTATATACGTTCCACTTCTTAACAACGGTTAAGGGTAGCTTTTGACATAAAATTATATTACCTCAGAGTCTTGAGTACAGGTATTTCTTCGTGAATAACGAAATTTGCTGATAGAATAAGTAGAGTAAGAATCAGCAGGCACAACGTTTCTGCGGCAAATGATATTGTACAAACGGTTCCAAAATGTTTGTTTGAACACTTTAGTGGTTAATGTATATAACAATGGGTTTAATGCACTATTGACTGGTAATATAAAAATCACAATCCAGCTATATAAATTGCCTCGAATATCCAGTCCTGAAATATAATCACTAATAGTTTATTAAGATAAATACCAAATACAAGTAGTTAAAATGGAATGAAATGAATTGTAAGAAGACCTATCTCTGTCAGCTATTATAAGAAGACCTGTCAGCTATAGCTAGAATCATAATTCAATAAAGAAAACCTACCTCCTAAAGCTGCTAATTTGAGACAGATTATAGGCATCCAACAAATGAAGTCTGTAATAACTATTAGTGAAAATCTCTTCATTAATGATCGCTCGTGATCAACATGGGTACTTCTCAGCACCATTCTAGACTGTCTGATAGAGAAGAACATTGAACAATAAGCATAACTTATAAAAGCGAAAGATACCAGGTTTAATCCAACAAACATAAAGACTGAATATTCCCAGCCATTACTCCAAGGTTCGTGTAATAATAGAGGAACACACACAGCGTTATTTCGGTAAAAATATGAACCGAAATACGACAGTCCCAGAGTTGGTAAAACCGACAACAACACACTAATAGTCCATATCACAATAATAATAGTACAGGCAAGGCGAATATTACGTTTTCGTAATGATAATGGATAGGTTATACACATATATCTATCAAATGTTATTAATGTTAAAGTAAGGACAGAAACTTCGGAACTAAGAGTAGTCAATATACCACTAAGATCACAGGCCCAACTGTTTCTCCATTCTATATCATACACTAAATATACACCACGATAGTTTAAATCTTGTGATGCTATAATCATCAAATATATTCCCATTATCAAATCAGCTAATGAGAGATTTTTGATGAAAAACGAATGAATTTGGTTGTCTTCGCGAATAAGGAACCGCCCAAGAATTACAGCTGAGTTTCCAAAACATGCGAGAACAGCAACTACCCAGATCATCACTCTTAGGATACGGTTTTCTAATAAATCCTCTTGACTTGATATACCATCACCCCATGGACTACATTGTTCATAATGTCTTACATAGCCACACATGTAAAATGCATCAAAATATCTGAGAAAAAAAAAATTGTGATTAGATTTTCAGACTTTCATTTTGGGATCATCAAGATCAAGAAGGTTGTGACGCTAGACCTGCGGAAAATCAAGCAATTTCCTTCCAGGAAACTTTGGAAAAGTCTTTGCTTTGAAGGGGGAAACTTGTAGTTTGTAATTTGGTTTTGAAATGAAAGTGTTATGACACCAGTCCTGAAACTTCTCTCACATACTTCATATATTGATGGACTGGATTCAAATGGTTGATCCATGTAGAGCTCGAATTTAACATTAAATGTATGAAAGTGTCTACTTACACGTATTTCAGATTAATTAACCCATCAAATACCCGACTTTTCACTTCTCTAAATCGGTTTTTACTCAATTCCCTAAAAATATATGAATCAGTTACAAGATTTGCGAGATTTACGGTCAAAGGATATACATGTAGCTTATTTTGCGTGAGAATTTCAGAAGTCTTTAGGATGCGAAAATACGCTAACTGCTTTTTTTTAACTCATTTGCGCGTTTATCACTATTTAAGGCGGGTAATTGGTTTTATTGAATGTCGTGAAAGCTATACTTACAAAGATAACAAATTAACTAATGGCAAGAATGTCGCGTCATCTAGTTGTTGTATTATATTCTGTCGCAAGTCTCTGTAAGTGGAAAATTTCAATACGTTTTAATGATCTCTATTTCAATGTAAGGCACACAATAACTACTAATGATATTAAAAGAAAAAAAAACTTTCTTATAAAGTATTAGATTATGAAATAAATACTCAATAAAATCCAATATAAAAAATAACATTACGTACAAATATGTCAGGTTATGCAAACCAACAAATGTGTTACTAGAGATGGTTTCTAAAAGATTTTCTGCTAAATTTCTGAAAGTATATAATACACTGATTCATAGACTTTATCATTTGCATTGCTCCGGTATGTTCTAATCCAGTGGTTCCCAACCTATTTCATCCACATTTGCAGCATGTGATGATCCGAAGTGCTCTCTCAACTCAAAATAAATTCTTCTCCTACACCAATTGGCCACACTCCTGACAACCTACTCCCACACCCCAGGGGATGAAAAAACCCCAGGTTGGGAAGCAGGGTTCTAATCCAATGAATAGCTGACAGCAATAATATAGGACTTGTCGCCCAACAGCCATGGATTTCTACACTCCGTTTCCATGCAAAAAGTGGAAAGTAAATACTGACAAAATAGGTAGGCTATAATACGTGCCAATAATCATTGCGCATGGTAAAGTCGCATTGATTATGGAATGTTCCAATCGTGACTAATATTCGCTATTTTTATCTGTGCAACGTTCTTTTTCAAGGGACGTAACTGGTTTCATAAAATGGTTCGAGAAAGAACACTTCTGATTTATATTATAAAAAAACAAAGATGTTACTTTTCGTGAAAATATTTTTAAGAATATAAGTAGGCTACACTTACAAATGTGACAGTGATTCTAATGATAAGAATGAACTTGAAGCTATATATTTTATTCTGTTTCCAAGTAATGAACTGGAAAAAAATGTTTTTTTTAAACAATATGAAAGATATTATTTTAAAATGTAAAAGAAGATGAGCATGCATTTGAATTTAAAACACCCATGGAAATAGATCTTTTACAGTATTCACTTGTTTAACTTCAAAAAGATACTAGAATTACGCGTGGAACAGAGTGGGACTTTGTTAATGTGCCAATTTGCTAGGGAATCAACTTTCTAGACTCATTAGATCTGTTACTGAGGCAATCAAAAGTTCTCTTTGTCGGAAGGTTGTGTAACAGGAAGTAGATTTCAAATATCAAGAATGAAAGTATCAGCAGTTAACGTCGGACATTAAATATGCAAGCATTCTTGGATATTTTTGATCAATGAATTTTAATCCTGAAAAGATCAAGATCAAGATCAACAAAGGTCAAGGACAAATATCGAAAGTATGAAAATCTAAAAAAGAGTGAATCGGTGTTGCCACGCCAAATATTCAAAATGTCCAATGTTTTGTTCAAATTTGAGGCTTTTACATCAAGTTGAATAGTTGCTCCAACTACTACAGTAGTTATGTGGGGTTTGTAAATTTCGCAAATTTTGAAAGCCAACCCCGACAAATATACTTACAGTGTGCGTAGATTTTTCAGATCACTGAAGTAGAATCGATCAATTTTCTCTAAATTGTTGTTATTTAATATCCTGCAAGATTAAACGAATGGTTGAAACGGCTATACTGGCTTTTAATCCATACGAGAAATTAAAGCCTATGGCTTTTCAACATTCAAGGGAGGCAATATTATAAATTATATGGACCCAAACAAGACAACCCCCCCCCCCCCCTCTCCAAAAAAAACGGCAGCAATGATTTCATACGAACGTAGTGTGTGTTTCTTTAGTCAACACTTTTCTTCCCATCCTTTTTCATAAGAAAAACATGTTAAGAGAATTGAACTAGACAATATGGAATCGTGAACCTAAAGGCAAACAGCGCAATGTACTCATGTGTTCCTTGAAAAGCAATTTGGCTGTAGACAAATCATGGGAAATAACTGTAATACATTTATATTCAAAAGTTGGTCACTGTGGTTTAAAGATTTATGAAGTTCTGTTGCAGGTATTACAACCTTAAAATGAAGAAAGTACGAAAATAATAGATTTCTATAGGCTTGTGACAAAAGAATATAATATTGTTCCATTGAAATTCAGATAACCTTTTGAATTATCTCACAACCTTCGAATAACCTGGTCATTGTATAAACTCAGGCTTCAAAATTAACCTCATTTCATTATTGTATACAGGTATATTATATATAAAAACATACAATTCTTCAAGTTGTCTGTTTTCTGTAAAAGAATTTTGAGCTATATTTTCTACCATGTTGCCATCTAAATATCTGAAATAATACAATATAGTACATGAAAATTGGTTAGACACAATACAAGAGATCATGAGCAAAAAATTACTATGTATATTTGTTGAAATATTCATTCAATCACGTTCAATCGTATCAAAACTAAATATAATGGGTGCTACTAGTCACAAGGACAACAATTCCATTTTTAGGGTCAAAACGCACAGGACGTTTCCTTCCGAGGCGAAGCTTGAAGCCGAGGGTCTGGAACTGCGAGAGACCAACCAGAAGCCAGCTGATTTTAGATGGCTGAGTTTATTTTTGAGCATTTAGAGGGCTTATTCACTTCAAAATAAGACCGGTAACTGGTCCGGGGTTGCTCCACTTTTCACGTCAGACAACTCATTAGCTGATTAAGATGATCTATTCAATATTTGTAGAATATAGTTTAATTATGAGTAGCCATTTCCTAGATATATGATAGCTTGTTTACCAATTATTGAAATTGATTAATACGGGAAAGTTAAGACTCAAATTACATATTCCTATCAATTATTTTTAGTACATAGATCTAGTGGTTGAAAAACAATACTAACAGTGTCTTTAAGGATGTCAAACGTCGGAAGAAACTTGGACGAATAGTTTTGAATTGGTTTTGGGTCAATCTCCTGGAAAGAAAAAGTCATTGGCAAAGATGCATTAAATATTATTAGGTTACGTTTAGACTAATTCTCTGAAGTCGATTAGGAAAGAGGAATACCAACTTAGTACAACTAAATTTTGGTAATGGCATTAGGAAAGGGGAATATCAACTTGGTACTACGAAATCTATTAAGTGGCATTTGGAAAGGGATATATCGACTAGGTACTACCAAGTCTGTGGCATTAGGAATAGAGAAGGCAAAACGTATACGATAAAACACTCAAAACGAACAGTTATGTATTTATAATAGTGCAGAATTAATTAGTAATCGAGAAATATGTTGAAATATATCGCCAGTTTAGATTTTTAGAAACAATCAAATGAGACATAATATTATATATATCATCCTTACAATTCTTGTACAATATTATCAGCTGAAAATATATTTTCTTTCAATTCTTGCAATTTATTATCTGTCAAAATTCTACAAAAAAAAACAAGAATAAACACTTTGTTTTATTAATTCTTCATATTTCAAACAGATTTTCCAAGATATGATGAAATTGATGTCTGAAAATACATTGGATAACATAGAATATAATAAATGAAGAATGTATAGTTCATGCATTCAAGGATACAAATCGTAGTTTACGTGGGTGTAAGCAACTTTACTTACTTTTAATTTAAAATGATAGCTTGCCAGGCAAGGTTCTATACGCCCACTGGCAGCTTTGATTTTAAATAAAAATATTTGGCAGTACAGTAATATCATGTGGGCGTATAAAAAAGATTCAGATGAAAAGGAGCATGAATCTAAACTTTACATGACAGGAAGTTAATATTGAATCGTTTAAGTAAAATGGACACCAAATACTCACAATATCATGATTTTTGTGTTGTTTATAAAAGTTTTGGATCCGATATGTTTCAAACCAGAATGTTGAACTGTCCTAGAAGTAATGTAGAAAAATATTATAACTGAAATTCAGCTATTAAATCCCAAGTTAAAAACGTTAACAAAAGCAAGTAAGGCATACATATTGTATGTTGAATTTAAAACATATAAAATCCACTTAACTACCATAGAGAGTTAACACCAACATAACCTTTTCGACTCAATATTAGCTGGTTTCAATGGCAAGATCTAGGAGATAACCCTTAAATGAATTCTATTTAACTAAAATCCAAGGGTTTGGTTGACAACAGTAACGCTATTAGGCTTCACCAACAATGTTACGTCAATAGCAGAAGTCATCCTTGTTTGCTAAATAACATGAACAAAATCAGTTCAAATACAAATTATTTTATCATTATGCTTCATTCCAAACTCTTCTTTCGGACTATAATATTATACAACACGTTATAAAAGCAGAAGACACAATAAGAATTCTCAGTGTGATAAATATTGCATGGGATAAGAATGTTGATAATTCAGCATCGTCAGATTTCGGACGGAAAAGTTTATATCGATATAAAGTTATGTGTTTATTTTTGTCTCGAGGTTGACAAGAAGACTTATTGTGAAAAGTCTATAAAAATTCTAGTGTCAATACATATTAGTTCTATGATACTTACAGAAACCTCAGATGTCTGAAATGTCTAAATTCATCAGCTGATATAACCTCAATATTGTTTCCACTAATATCTCTATAATACATAATAGTGTTACCAGAAAATCTATATCATCTATTAGTTTGGGTTATCAAAACTGGCAATTTTTTTTACGTGAAAGACAGTGAGTCGTCGAAATATTTGTTTTACTAGCTATCCGTACACCGTATCCGTATTCAGAATTAAAACCTTACTTCTCCTACCCTCACAAGAAATGATGTTCAAGACTTCCAGACGTTCACTGACTTTCACGTGAGAAATTTTGATCTATGAGTTCATAATATCGGTAATATCTGCACGGGAAAAAGAAGAAGATTTTGGAAGAGACGGCAGTTTATAGGTACTTTCGTGGAGGTAAGGAAACCGGGCGTTGAATGTAATTATCATCGACTATATTTGAGAGCTCTTCTGTCAGCTTATAAAACAAATATTTCTATACCTATTTCACATCAATGGAATTATGAAATTCATACCTTCAGCGCAATGTTATATAGCTTCAAATTTCTCAGTGACATGTTTTAAAATAAGGTAGCTAATTGCTACAAGTTAAAAGTTTAACTACGTACAAATGTGTTAGATTGGAAGATCCATTCACTGAAATTTCTGTCAACTTCTGATCATTACACAATGATCGTGTTTCCGCTTTACATACACACCCAGTTGGTATCGACGACAATACTACAATAAAACAAAATAATTACCTAGTTTATAATTTATACAGTTTCTATCTGAACAGTTGTAACGAAGATCTAATGCGTTGTATACATGCTTCAAATATTACCCACTTCTGGGCTTCACGTTTTATGACAATTATTTATCTAGATTTTAAATATCTGCAATTTTGCGATGATATAGGTTTTGAAAGATAAAAGGTGTAAGATTTATATCATTATCTAGACTAATGATATACCTACCACATTCATCCGTGAGATTTTCTCTATCCGAATCGGGTCGTTTCTTGAAGTAAATATTCCAAAATTCGCCTTGACTTTTATCCACTATAAAAAAAATAATTATTAAATTAATCAATTATGAACCATACATTAATATAATATAAAATCTATATTAAGTCAATATACAACTTGAAAACCAGCTAAATCTCGCTAAAGTGATATACAAGATAAATATCAACCAATATAATATAAAATCTATCTGAAGTGATATACAAGATAAATATCAACAAATTTAATATAAAATCTCGCTGAAGTGATATACAAGATAAATATCAACAAATTTTATATAAAATCTCGCTGAAGTGATATACAAGATACATATCAACAAATTTTATATAAAATCTATCTGAAGTGATAATACAAGATATTAAATATTAACCAATATAATATAAAATCTAACTGAAGTGATATACAAGATATTAAATATCAACCAATATAATATAAAATCTATCTGAAGTGATAATACAAGATATT